AATTTGTCTAGAGACAAGTATGGTGATACTACATAAATAAAGTAAATGAACTGCCTTTTTGATTATTGTAGACAGTAAAACTTTTTAAGCTGTTTTGAAGAAAATTCTCATTTTCAACAATCAAGAAAACATTCATATCAAAACCAATCCTAGTCCTGTCATCTTAGAGGTTTATTTCCAGGTATTACCATTCACTGGTCAAGCTGCAGCTCTCTTGTTATGATAAGTTTAAGAACACATGATTTGTTGACATCTAGATATGATATGCATGGTAAATATAGATTAAACTATGACATTTCTTCGACTTTGGCTTTGATATGAAATGATTTATTGCCATACATGTAGATGCAATGCGAAAAGAGTGTGCAGATCAAGCACCACTATTTCAAAGCATAGTTCTGTGATAGGAAGAACATGCACTCTAAGCTTAGTGGTGTATTTTTGCCATAACTTGAATCATTGCAGGGTTATAAGCATCTGGAAATTGGACCAAGAGCAAGGAATTTTAACAACTGACATAACGTTTGATCATATTTTGATTTTTGAACACTTTGGTTTTTCAACCATTTCTTATTCTGATGGACATTTGATCATCCAACGGCTTAATATATATAATATGATTATGTTTTTTTACCTTGAACTAAGGTTTAGCTGCAGCAACATCTTTTTGCATTGAAATGTTGACAGCATTTTAGCTGCTCGTGTTGTTTCCTTATTGTCAGAACTTTCAGAAATTACTGTATATCAGAGGATTTGCCTTCAGACAAATACTTCAAAGTAAATCCCTTATGCTTCACTAAAGTCTACAAAGTTGAGCAATTAGATGAATTCATATAGAAATTGGACATCTTGCTGGATTGTTTTTTTAATAGCAACTACAGTAGGTACTTTTGATTTATTAAGGGGGCTTATAAGAGATCAATAGAGAGGAACTATCATTGATATTATTTTGTTTCACTTTCAAAGAGTCCAGACAAGATTAGTCCTAATTTTATTTTTATTTTTGAGGGAATTTTTAACCCTATCAAAGTGATAATATCTGATTGGCTGTCACTTTGTTTGATTCTAACATGATTCCTGATTGGTCAATTGGTCATTATGCCACCATACTCTACAGTTCTTGTTTGTTTGCAGGACATTTTGTGTGTAAAGTACAATGTGTACATTTGTTATTTCCCACCATCCATATGACCAATGTTTAATTCAAATTAAAGAGATTTGTATGAATTCTGCACTGCACTAAAATAAGAAATTATCATAATAATAATTGCTGTTTTACCCAAGAAATCCTCATCAAACAACACAAATTTTACAATAGAAATAATTATAATGGTCATGAAATTGTGATTGATTTCCCCTTTTTTGATTGACAGCCTATAAGACATAAATATAATATATTTTTGAAAACTTTTGTTTGCAATTAAATAGATTTGTCTTAAATAATTGGTAAGGACAGATCAATATTATGTTCAATGATTTTAAAACCTGATTGCGTAGAAACAGTTTGCAAGACATTATTATCCCTTCAATTGATAACCACATGCATGTAGCTCAGGTGTTTTAATGTTGTACCCTGTCAATTGGTCCTGTTTTACAAGGTGTTATAGTTATTCATCAAGATGATTTATGAACTATTGAAAATGACAGGTATGTTAAAGTTTCTTTTCTAAAAATCATGAGAAAGGTTACCATGATTTTATTGTTTCTCGGTTTCTTGATAATTATTGTGGATAACTCGAAAGTCTTTGAAACAAAGTTGTACAATAATGGGTTTCTATAGCTTTGTAATTCAGGACTGTGCATGGTGGCCCTGTTTCAGTGTAAATCTCTTGTTGTGTATTATATTTTGTTCACCATTGTTCTTCTCAAGTTTATCCATCAGTAGATTAGATTACAGTAATGCAGCCTCCATGACAAACATCAGACCTTATCAAGAGCAACGCCAGCATCCAATGTGTGAGAAGCTCACTTGATTGACAGTTGTCTGCTCTGAGTACTTTATAATCATGATGGTATGTATAGTATCATAGAATCCTGTGGACCCCTGACCTGACGTGTTTTTTCATGTGTGCATATTATGTTCTTTACTTAGTAAAATGGAAAAGTTGTTAAGCCAAATATTTTAGTTTGCCAGATTTACAGAAACAGGTTTGCACATTTATTTATTTTGATCATCAGTAAAGACAAAACCATGGATACGTTGAGATTTATCAATCAGTCAATTGGTATGATATGCGTCAGAAAAGAAAGCAGTCATGAAAATGGTAAACATGAAATAAGTTGCTCTTCCCACTGAGCTGCTAAGGCATTAAACTCATGAATCAGTTGATCATCAAGCAACCAAAGAACTTTTTCTTGTACAAACAAGAATTTTCAATGCAATTCATCCTTAGAATTTACCATCATTTCCACAGGATTCTATGATACTGCAACGCATTATTGCAAATGCAGCGCCGATATAAAAAGAATACCAACCATCCACACACTTACATACACAAAGCTGTCTTGTGTTGTCTTTGATTGAATTAGCTGCTACACCAGTTAGACCCAGTTATAGCATATGTGATATTATGCCACACCGTACTGCAGGATGTGGAGAGAAGTAGGATGAAAGTAATTATTTTGAACATTTTTGTTGACAATATTGATGTTTGACAACACAGTTCTGTTTAAACAGTAAACAAAATGGAGAAACCAACAACAAATTATTTTACCAGAAAGATGTTTCTTTTAAAGACTGCAGTTCATGTTTTATTGATAGTAATTCTAGTATTGAGTCAAAAGATATCAACCAACTAGTTTGTTCTAAACAAAAAAAAAAGAAAAACAAACAGAAGGACTTTGTTCAACGAAGACTACAATAAAAAGGCATTGTCTTCTTGAATGAAGGTTTATCCTATAATTATGCAGATAAAAAGTATGTTTCTTCAGATGCTGGTTATAACTGGGTCTAACTGGTATTCATGCAGTAGTATGGTTTGGGGGAGGAAGGGTTGAAGGGTGGATCGAATCATGGACCATACTGGAAAAGATTGACAGAGAAGTACTCTCACTACAGTAACCACCAGTGTCATTGCTTCTTATCCATATGATCTGCTGTGTCATCCATGTCTTGCAGTAGTTTACTAGTTAAACTTTAATTTAGAACTGTTGAGAGAGAATTAAACATTGGTGAAAGCATGTACAGGTATCATTGTCAACTTTCATAGGAAGTAGGGACAGCAGCATTGACATTGGTGGTTGAATCATGCCGTCCCTGAACCTTTAAACAATTATTTATGTCGGAGATGTGCTTTAAGTGAATGGACAAGCAGATCTTAATCAAATACTGTTTCACTTGGAATTCACCTCATGTTTACTTGCACAGATGTCATGGGAAGTGTTTGAACACAGAGTATTAATTTTGTTGCATGAATAATAGGTTCTTTTGTACAAGACTATTTGCACTCGTGTTTAGTGCATTTTATTTGCACATAATTGTTTGCTTTGTGAGAGTACTTCTCTTATTGGTTTGTGTTTATTTTTGATGGTAATACCACAGTTTCATTTTGCTGTCACTGTGATAGTTGTTACATTGCAAACTTTTCCTTTTCGCCAAATCTTTAACAGAAATGAATTGTTGTAGAAGTGAGTTGTGATCCAAGTAGCTTCGACATGCTTGTTCATTGACAAAACATAAAACAGCTACTATATGATGGAATTGTGTTTGCAATAAACTATCACAATGATCAAAGCTGTATTAGAGTATATGACTTGTATTTAATTCATGAAATGTAACGCTGATTAATATTTAATAGGTATGAAATAATTTGGTACCTCTTGTACTCTTTATTAGGTTTCATGGATTAAGTGCTTCTACTCTAACAAAAACTTAGAGTTTGTATGACGTCAATCTTCTCTAGTATGGTCCAACTGGGTGGGGAGGGGTTTAGCCTTTGGGTGGGGTGGGGTTCAGCATTGGGTGGGGTGGGGTTCAGCATTGGGTGGGGTGGGGGTTCGTAGTTTGGGTGGGGTGGGAATTTGTCTTCCGGTGGGGCGGGAGTTAGAGTTATGACAGGGAGAGGTCGGAACATCACCCTTATAAGGTAAGTGAATTCATCTTGTGACTTTGATGTCATGGTAACAAGGTAAATTCACTTATTCCACTTATTGACTTGTACTTTGTGTAATATAACTTGTATTTTTTACCTTTGTTGTTTTTTGAAAAATAAAGTTTGACTTTGAAAATTTTCTTAGTGTCTTTAATGTATTCCATCTCTATAGGGTACACGCCCATTTGACTTAAAAAAAAATATGCCTCCCTGAGACCCCACTAGCACCAAGTCTTTCTTGCCACTCCAGCAGGCCTAATCTCTATGGTAGTCTCGCTGCCCTGACTAGAGCCAAGTTATAAGGCCAAGACCAGCAAACCTAAGACTGCCCTGATACTGGAGACTGACTGCATGAATGTTGAACCGCCACCCACTGCAGACTCCAGGGGGGAGCTCTGATGTCATCCAAGCCAGCACTTAAAGTGAGGGCCAGTGCAAATGCGAGTCTCAAGTGACCCTGCCCCACCATTCACTGGTGTGCATGACAGTGATGCACTGTGTGATCAATAGGCTCATCAGCAACATTCAGACAACTCCGTAATAAGTTTTGATTATCAAATCTGACAGGAAGACTAAAAAGTTTATTTCTGGGATAATAAAGTGGGTTAAATGTGAAGGTCAAGTCTGATAAGGCCAACTACCACCATGCAATTTAATTGGAAAAGTCTAAAGGTTTAACTTTAATTTACTTTGCCACCATTTTGAATTGATTAACCTGGAAGCCATTTTGAATTGATTAGGCTAGAAGCCATTTTGAATTGATTAAGCTAGAATCCATTTTGAATTGATTAAGCTAGAAGCCATTTTGAATTGATTAAGCTAGAAGCCATTTTGAATTGATTAAGCTTGAAGCCATTTTGAATTGATTAGGCTAGAAGCCATTTTGAATTGATTAAGCTAGAAGCCATTTTGAATTGATAAGTCTAGAAGCCATTTTGAATTGATTAACATAGAAGCCATTTTGAATTATTTAAATCACTGCCAAACATCGCAAACATTCTCCATAGAAAGATATGTTTATTTGTTTAGTGTCCTAAGAAATGGTGGCAAATACAGAAAGATTTATGTTTTATTTTAATGTCAGCCTAAGATAGTTTTTTCACCAGCAAAGAAACTTTCGACAAGTGCAAGAGCCGCTGTAATAATGTCAACAACTATATTTGGCTGCGTAATCATTCACCAAATATAGGAAATTTAAGTGTTCTAGGGAGCAAAACAGATAAGTGTACTTCTAGACAAGTGCACTGTTACGTCAAAGCAAACATTTTAGTCAATTTGAGCTTCAAGCAGTTGTCAGTTACAGCTAGAGGCGTAACATCCTCTTTTGACTTCTTGTCACAATTATAGACTTTGTATTTCTGAGGTTTGGTGTTTCTTCCCATCTTCAATGAGTCACCTTTCACCTCTAGATCATTAATATTGCGTACTTTTATATTGCTAAGTTCTTATTGCTAAGTTCACTGCTTTGTACATTTTGTAATTGCCTTCTTTCTGGCTTGTACATTTGATTCACTGTCAAATTTGTGTAATTTGGTAAATTTCATAACTGCACGAAAAAATTCAAACAATTTGAACAAGTAAAATCTTTCCATTTTTCCATAGATTTGTTGAAAAAAGAGATTTGAAAAATACAATTTTTGAAGACCTCAGATCCTTGTTTATGTAATATTGCTTTGTTTCTTTTTAAATGGCTTCAACAGAGACATTGCAGAGACTGAAATATATTATGTAAACCTTGAAACAACTGCTCAACAGATTTTGCTCTTTTCTGTTTAGTTACAGTAATTTTACCTCACTTAAATTAATGCCTTGGTCCTGACGAGTACATTGTTTGTTTTTGCTTGTAGTGAAAACAGTTCTGATTCAAGTCTCATTTACCAGCGCAGGATTTGACACATTTTAGTGAATCCTTTTCAAATATCTCATCTCAAGTCACATTCGTAGCATTTTTACATTGTTATGTTATAAATTAAGTTGTTTAGGGATCTGAGGTCTTCACTTTGCTGGTGAAAAAACTTCAATTAAATTGTAATCTGTGGTAGAGGCCATTTTAACAGCTGCTGATAACATTTAACCCCACAATATTATCCCAGAAAAAAAGGTTTTTAAGTCTTCCATGTCAGTTTGATAATCACTTAGTTTGGAGAAGTCTGAATGAAGCATCACTTCAAGCCTACTGATCACCCAGTACATCACTGCCATGCACACCAGTGAATGGTTGGGCAGGGTCACCGGAGACTCACATTTGCACTGACCCTCACCTTATTTGCTGACTTGAATGGCATCAGAGTTCCCCCTTGGAGTCTGCAGTGGGTGGCGGTTCGACATTCATGCAGTCAGTCTCCAGTATCAGGGCAGTCTTAGGTTTGCTGGTCTTGGCCTTATAACCGGTTKGCTCTAGTCAGGGCAGCGAGACTACCAAAGAGATTAGGCCTGCTGGGGTGGCTTCTCTTTTGGTGCTGGCAGGGCCTCAGGGAGGCATGTTCTTTATTTCCATTTTGACAATGAAAAGCAATAGATACAGGAGAGTGTCCTATCAATCAAACACAAAACCTYCATGGCAGATGAAGCCCTAAGCACCAAGTTTGAATCAAGGAAAAATAGTGATGGAAATATGCTCGGAGTCAGAACACTGTAAATCAAATCAACTTTCCGTCAGCTCATACTAAAAGGACACTCTCCTGTATCTACTGCTTTGGGTTGGAGGACTGGCAGCACATGTTTCTGTCATTTTGTCAACTATATCTTGTCATGATGTGTCATTTCTATGACATTTCCTCCATATTCGTTGGACTTCTATCGAGTGGAAAATCATCTTGCAAAAAAGAAACCTTAAAGAACCAGAAAACCTAACTTAACCTTAAGAGCCAGTCCCCCAACCCACAAAAAGTTCTAGATTCAATCCTTATTTTTATGGAGTACAGTCCTAAGAAACCTATTGTAGAATGACTGCACTCCACTTCTCTCATTTCAGAAAGTTCATTGTTCTCAAGGTAATTCTGGCAGCTCTGGGTTTGTTAGATCTCTGAAAGATCATTCATCATATCTGTAAAGAGAAATAAAAGAGTTACATTTGTATGAGTGTTTAGTTGTAAAATATGCTAAACGCATCGAAAGAATAAACATGCTGACAATGTTGTCAGACAAGACATACAATTTCACATACACCATTTAATGATTCCCAATAAAATTGGAACATATTTATCATACATTATTAAATAATAAATTACCTGAATGTCAGTTCGACCAGACTGTACATTTGTACTTGGCTGACRGCACTGMTGAGCAGCTCAGGTGATGACAGATGATTGACATCTCGTCATGGTTTTCAAATGTGCTAAAGCACAGCTACAGCAATGTTCATGGATATCACATGTCAGCCGGTGTAATCATTGTCTATGTATCTGATATTAGACGGTTGTGCTGCATTCTTTGTAGCCTGAGTGCAGGCTGCATGTTACAGGTATGTTACACTGTCTGGAACAGAACCTGATTTCCTTTGTGTATTTCCTTTAAAAGCAAATAAAATGATCAGAATGATCAGAATGATGATGAAAATACTGTCAACATGATAAGATAAGTCAGAATATCATACACTTCATATTACTAGTAAGCTTATATAGGAAAAGCTAATTTTAAATCTACATTTAACCACCACAATCCGACTCTCGTTTGGGATAACACCTCAAAAAGTATATCACAACCCTTGATTTGTCATAATGAAARATATTTTGATAACATAAGTCAAATATATAGATTGCAAGGTCTTGAATTTCTCGATTTTTTTAATTTCCACAACAAAAACACTTTAATATTAGTATTAATTATAGCTTAAAAATTTTCATAAAGCTAATCTGCCAAGAACAAGAAAATGGCGGCACAAGAAATGACAAAAAAACATGACAAATACTCAATATACTCACATTTCATTGTCTTCTTGGCGTGCCTCGATGATTCAAATAGTATTTTGGGCTATATTGTAGCCTTTTTCTGCATTTAAACATCAAATATATAGCACTTTTTGGCCCTTTTTCATAGCTTCCGCCATTTTGTTCGTTGATCACGTGTCATGAAAAGTTATGAGTGAACTGGGCACTAGTAGAGCGCAAGAGCGCAAACTTGGGAAAATGCATATTTGCATCATTCTTTACATCGAAAACAGTCGCATGCTAGTATTAAAGCGTAAATAATTGCTTTAAAATTCCTTTCACGCATGCCAAGTATACATAAATGCATGCCGGAAATAAAACACAAAATAAGTGGAGGGCATGCCAATGCCAATGGACAGTATTTTGCTAGATATCAGAGATATCAGTGTTATGGAAATGTCCGTAACGAAGAGGTGAGCGTATTAAAGCCGAGGAACTAACACTTACAATAACGTAGCGTACGTTTTATGGAAAAATGTTATTCACAGAATGACGAAGAGGGAACTGGTTGNCGTGAAGAACGAGTTTGAGGTGGCAATTTTTCATTAATCACTGTAGATATGATATCATCTGCACTGCTTTCCTTTGGTCTTCCCCTTCCTTTTAAATTGTAGACCTTGTGCGCATGCGAAGGGTTTTCCCGGTAGTGTCGCAACAAATTATTGTAACTTGCATACGAGTGATTACACGTTTCGTAGCCACAATTATGACGAGTGCCTGCTTCAAAATTCATGGTTTACAACTCTGCACAATCTAATTTTTTTTCGCATTTTGCTGTTTTTATGTCTAAACTACTGTCACTACTAAAATTGCAACTGCTTGCGTGTACAAAACCTTTTTGACGCGCGCGTGCATATGAACATTTTTCCCGCCAAAAGTGCGAGATATAGCTAGATATAGTTATATTAAAACAAAACCACTCATATTCAATTAAAAAGTCGATTTATTTCTGTACAAAGTACAAAATATACATCAAGAAATATGTTAACTTTAAAGAAAGCTCATCAAAACAGTTCTAGGCCTTACTTTTGAAGACATTTGAAGATTTACTTGGGTTGACTCGTTGATATCCATTTTCCCATCGATTAAAATGATAGCAAAATCTCAAAAATCACAGAAGAAAAGCGTGATATTGTTTAGTTTACAGACACATCGATTAATCCTTGTCAAAATATCCCAGGAATGAGTGTCATACTAAGGCTAAACTTTGATTTTAGCTCATTATTTCACAGTCGCCGCTTCGGAAAAAACAAGATGGCGGGCAATTTCTTCCTATGCAAAGCGCGCGCTGATTTCTGGGATGGATTATTAACTTGAAAAATATATCATGCATTGCGGGCGATCCGAGATCACCTAGGTGTCATGAAAAGTTATGAGTGAACTGGGCACTAGTAGAGCGCAAGAGCGCAAACTTGGGAAAATGCATTATTGCAAATAGTAAATGTTTATTTTCTACTTGAAAATCAAATTTTACATCGAAAACAGTCGCATGCTAGTATTAAAGCGTAAATAACTGCTTTACAATTCCTTTCACGCATGCCAAGTAAGCATTAAATGCATGCCGGAAGTAAAACACAAAATAAGTGGAGGGCATGCCAATGCCAATGGACAGTACTTTGCTAAATATCAGAGGTATCAGTGTTATGGAAATGTCCGTAACGAAGAGGTGAGCGTATTAAAGCCGAGGAACTAACACTTACAATAACGTAGCGTACGTTTTATGGAGAACAGATGTAACTCTCTCTTCAATATTGAATAGTTCTAGTTTACTCGAGTAGAGTAACACTTAAATGTTATTCACAGAATGACGAAGAGGGAACTGGTTGACTGATTGAGATGTCCGTACTTAACATGGAGATCAATGTCCTTGCGTAGAAGTTAACGCATTAACGCCGGAGGAATCTGTAATTGTTAACGTTGAYTTGTGCATACTGTTGATATCGTGTGTGCGTAACGCACAGGTGTCCGTAAAAATATATCAATCGGATTCCGTAATATAGAGATGTTCATGGAGACTGCGGAAATATTTCTTGCAACCAAAAATTTCACGTCAAATGAAATTCCCACATGTACTTTGGCTGGTTTTCCACGATGACAYTCTTACAATGACAAAACTATTGATCGTTTTCACCCATTCCACTTGAGAAAAAGATAAAAGACCGGTGGCTATGTTTGGAGGAGTGAAGAATAAATAGATACTAATAATAGATACTAATCCTTTGTTAAAGTTCCTCCACTAGATGGCCGCCGTAATGTATCGTGAAAACCGTGGTGAAAGAACACCACTTTTTAAGTTTCACATTTCCTGAGATTCTTAACGCTTCAAATYCCTGAAATTCAAGGAAAGGGTTCCAAATAAGGTAATTCTTTTRATCTTAAAAGATTAAATCATAATTTCAACACTTTGTGCCCAAAAGATGAGCAAAAGAAAAACAAGAAAATACTCAACGTGTTCACGGTTAGAGCTAGCGACAGTATTGTSTTATCRCTGACATATAAAAGTGAATCAGAATCGGTGAGAACAACGAAAAAGATCTCTCAAAACTTGTCTACAAGCCATGCGAACATCTSCGAACCTTTTGCCAAAAATAATCGGATTTATACTGGAATTGAGACCGAAGATAAGCCCACCGGTTACGTACAGCAGATGAAGTAGCTCCAATGTTCGCCTGTCCGTTGTTGATAAAAATGTTATACTGATGCACATTACAGGGAGATAACACATCACAAGGCAGCCCAACACAATTATCATYGTGTTCAATATTTTTCTATATTTGACAACATCAAAGTTTCGTCTCAAGGWGTGGRTTTGTTGGGCGTGGACTAGCGATGTGCGGTAGCGATGAAGCGTTTTAAATGACAAAGTGTAGAAAACACATGTTATGAGCAATATACCAATYCCTAGTAAATCCCTCACAAGATACAAATCTTCATAAAGATTCAAGAGAATTGATTCTGTTACAGCTAAAGTYCAACCAAATACAATTATTAATTTCAGACGAGGCTTTGTAACAATGAGTCGATACCTSAGTCCCAGACGAAGCGCTAGATAGCGATCCACACTTATGCACGCAGATATGAACAGCGAGCTTCCGCCCAAAACGACAGTCATTGCCAAAAAAATCCTTCTGGTTGCACAAACTCTTTCAGCATCGACTCGCAAGTAAGAATAGTCTAGGAAAATCAGATATGGATGATAAACCAATCCAACCAGAAGATCTGTGAACGCCAAACATGTTATCAAGAGATAAGAAGGCGTTTGAAGATTCTGGGATCGCCAGATGGCGACGATAATCAGTCCATTGAAAAGAGATGCTGAAATAGTCAGCAATRCATTGAAGAAAATATTAACGATTAGAAACGTCTCTCGAAATGTCTCAGCGACATTCTTGTGCAAATAGATCTGGCATTCGCTGCGATTCATCGTGTAGCAAAAATCTTTAGATCCAAAATCAATTTCCTTGAAATATGTTTTTCATTACAGAAAGAGCTGCAAACGAAAAACTGTTGAACTGCGCGTTTTTTCAGYTTTCTCTTGTGCGATTCACAATGAAGCCAGTACAAAGAAAGCTAGTACTGTCCAAGTATGAACGGTCTAAAATTGGTTCAGATTGAACAGGTGTGTCAACGTGCCAAAATCTTTACGATCTCAAATATCAACTCTTTTATTYAGCTCAAAGTTTTAGCGTCAAGAAAATTCATTTACATTGTCCAATTAACTGACGATCTCTGTGCCGGTCTGTCTTTCCTATATAAATAGATGAGCTCGATTCGGTTTTCAATAATTTGTTTAAGTTTTGCTTCGCGTCGTGCCAGTTTCCAAATTCAATCAAATCCGAAATTCTTAATGGCTTTGAAAAAGCGCTTTCTGCTTCCAATTTAAGGTTACTGTGTTTTCATTACAATCACAAACGTATAGGATATTACCACGATTACTACGTAATCCAGTTGGTTCCCTGTTCATTCATAATGACCCTCATAATTCAATAAACTATGGGATATCACGGTCTATTCATTAAGTTTTGCACTTCGAATGAATCGAAAATAGTCGAAAAAAATATTTTTTTGAGATCTATTATCATTTGCCTATACTTTRTTGGATACTAAAACAATTATATGATACAATATCTATAATTTATATATAGGATTTAAAAAAAAAGTACTTGGAGTATTTTTGAAAAAGTGACTTTGACGGTACAACAGCATAGCGGCTTCACCGTCGTTCCGACKCACTGGCCACAAAAACGTTCACGTGACCATCGAACTGTGGTTGATTGAATAAGCAACACTAAAATTGAAATGTTTATTTGATAACGTTGGATCTGCCTTCTATATGTCAAAATAACGTTGTCATTTGGTCCTAGAATAAGTAACATAGCAAACTAAAAAAAACTTCAAAAAAAGAAGTCATTCCAAATGTTTATTTATTTTCATGATTGTCCCCCTTCAACTGTAAGATTGCTTCGTGGTTTGACTTCACTATAGAGGCACTCTACACTCCAATGGAATTGTTTCTTTTAAAGTTTTTAGACTTTTACCATCAAAGTGTACAAAGTATAAACTGTGCAACTGTAGAAAATTAAATAGTGCTATTTAGTAATGAAATGGTGTATGCGGTGCGCGTATTGATACATGATGAAGCAATTAATTTTTTGTACCAAAAGTGGACCTGAAGCAAGTCGGTAGAGTGATCGCACTTAATCCGTGCAACTGTACAAACTAAATAGTTCTATTTAGTTGTATTTGGTAAATCGTGCATACGATACGCAAATTAAATTGAATTGATACAAATGAAGCATTCAATACCGTCTTGCTTCAGTCCACTTTTAGTACAAATTAGTACTACTTGGATTTTAATTTCATTTGCCAGTACCAAATGCATGATTTACTAGCCAGCGTTACATCCGGTTTTATTCGCGGTTTTATTTTGGCGAAATAAACCGGATGTAACGAAGGCTAATGATTTACCAAATACAATTAAATAGAACTATTTAGTTTGTACAGTTGCACGGTTTAAGTACGATCACTCTATTGAATGCTTCATTTATATCAATTCAATTTGCGTACCACATGCGCATGATTTACTAAATAAACTAAATAGCACTATTAAGTACGATCACTCTAAGTTGTATTAGTGTAATATCTATTTCATTGTTTTTTAACTTCACTCTAATATTTGCTTCACAGGTATTTCATCGTTACTCTATGTATCAGAAGATGTTAAGGGGACCCCATACCTGACACTATCCACCCATTCAAGAAAACCAAACAAGTGTAATATCATTCTCACAATTTATTAGAATAGACAGAGATATATTTTATTACGAATGTTATCAATAAATATATTCATAACCAAAGATAATAACGTGTTCTGTCCACATTGTAGGCACAGTAGCATATAAACCTTCACTATCACACAATTCATCGTAGCAAAGTTTTTTTTCAATTTAAAGAAAATAAATAGCAATACAAGAGTAAGCTTCAATGTATATATTTTATAATTATTCTTATATTATTCTCATCTTTTGGACAAAAAATAACTTGTCGTGCAGTTTGGAAATGAGTGTAGAATAGCTGAAAAAACAGAGTGACTTTCAGATTATAACTGGCTAACAAAGTGACCTTATTTTCTAAATAGCTTTATAGTAAATAATGAATAAAATGCAGGCATATGTGACAGTTGATAAATATGCAAAAGAGACAAGAAAGTTTTATCCTTATTCACTATTTAAACAAGCTGAATCCAGGTCATTATGCAGTGATAGTTGCCCGTGGAAACTGGATGTTCCAAAATATTTACCTGAATACTCAGTTCAAGAGCAACTATGATGTTTTGAGGAACATGCAGTTTTCAAGGTGTAGGTGATAATAAGCAAAATAATAATCTGAAAGATCCACAGTTTCCTCTTAAAAGTATAGTTCACTATCTCAGTAATAGTATTCTACATAATTTCCAAATGGGCAAAGTTCAGTAAAAAAGTAGTATAAAACAAGCTGCTGAAATGAGTTCAGACAGCTCCCTGGTTTGGTAACTGGTATATTGAAGGTTGTTTGGATTATAGTTCCACAAATTAATGAATGAAACCACTATATAAAGAGGGCCTGGAGGGATTACACATCCAAATCCCCCCTCTCCCTCCCACATGGACTTAAGCTGACTGGCCCTCTACGTAAAAGTAGTTCACAGTGACAATTTTTGTGGTAATTTTTGCAGCAATTTCTGTCAAAAACATAGTATATTTTCCTTATCCTTGTGAAGAGATGTTTAGTTGACTCATCTAGGCATACTAAATGAAAGTTTACAACTTCATAAACTTTATGAACTTAGATCAAACTGACTGCAAAAATTGCCACAAAAATTGCCAGTGCAGACAGACCTTTACCAAGTACCGGACCGTCAGCTAAGTCTGGTCTTATTTCATTTTCCAGTTCTTGTAATGTCAATATGAGTGCATATTATAGCTGTCTGTTTAAAATCCCGTCCTTATGAAGATACTTTGTAAAGGTATTAGAAATGGAGTGTAATCTCCCATCAACATCAAACCTTTTGAAATAATTATTGATATTGACATATTAAGTGTTACAAAGTACTTTCATGAGACATAGTATGGCGTGTAAGTGCTATAATTGTTTAATTAACTAAGTAATTGACTTCTTAGTAATCTCAAATATTTCAAATCTATCATAATGAAAACAAAAAAATCAAAATTAAATATAGTATGAATGGAAGTTTCATATTTAAAATAAATTCCTTTTTCGAGAGTTTTTAAAAAAATGATTCCGGTAAGCGTACTATCTCAATGGACAACTTGCACTGGCAGGTCACATGGCCCAATCAATCTTAAATGAAGCATCTATCTTCAAACAAACTTCAGAAATGAAACAAATAAAGAACCAACTTAGGACAAATAACAGAAACATAAGATTTCATAGATAATTTTGTTAAAAAACATTGACATTCCAGTTCTATTTTCTATCTTTAAAAAGTCATTTCCAACTTTCCCAGACATTTATGAAGCATTTTAAATCAAAAGCTGAAACTTGAACAGCAAATAAATGCTATCATTTCTTTAGATGCTTACTTAGGAGAGACATGACCCAGTAACGTACCAGTGTAAATTTGCCCATTCAGCTTGCTTCAACTGTACAAAAAGTATTGGAAATACCATTAGAAATAGCACACAAATAGGCTAGGTGCATGTATATACAACGACTATGGGTATAGTAATAATAATATTACATTATAAGAATACAAATTGCCACTGAGCTTTGTCACCACAGCCAGAGAAACTTGCATAGAAATTCACTGAAAACTAAACGCGGTTCTGGCATTTGGCTGCAGCACTTAAAATAGCTCAATCGAAACAGCAAACTGTCATGAAAGCAGCTGCTTATTGTGATATAACTGTTCTTTTTTTTTAAGTATTACGAAGAATGACACTTGATTGAGTGCCTCAATAAATTACAACATCAAAAGACACTAAAATATTGTTATAATCACTTAACTTTCACAGAAAAAATGAGTTTAAGTGCTAGATAATATGTATTAAATATGAGTGAATAAATTCAATTGAGGAATAGCAAAGAGAACTGAGAAACTTGAAGTATAGACTAATAATGATTTGCAAGTATGGCTGTTTGGATAAAAAGTATTGGAGTACAAGACAAATAATGACAAACACAATAACATACATTTAAACTACATATCTACATGCTACTGAACCTATGGCTATAAGCTTTGCTACTGGTTAGATCAAGTCTAACACACCTACTAATGTCTCTACTTTGGCTATGGCTACCACTATTCATTTTAATACTTTGGATAATTTCAAGATGAGGGCATCCAGCGAAGGCAATACAGCATGAAGGAATGCAATAGTTAACTCATTTGAAAGGGATTTAAATATAAGAAAGCTTTTTTTAAACAATTTTGAAGAGAAAACCATGAACATTTCCCCCAGCCTTCATGCTGAATACCTTAACTTGACACATGAATTTGATTAATATAAAATGACAAATACATACAATCATCAACAAGAGAAATAACTTTCTAACTCCCTATCCTGACCATCAAAAAACACAGAGAAATAAGTACAATAATTAATTTAAAAATCACTTTCAATTTAAAGCTTAAGTTAGTAATGATTTGGGGCTTTTACTTTGAGGTTTTGCCACAGCTCCTTGTTCTGTTGGCGAGTTGAAATTAGGCTTGCCAAGTGCTTCATGGGACAAGCCATCTTCCCCCTTAACATTACCATCCTTGTTAAGTCCAACTGCTCGGGCAGGGCCTCCGTTATTTAACCCTAAGTATGGGTAGCTGCCATAACTGCCCTGAGTATTATACATTGAGTTATATGCACTTCCGAACATGAAATGTGGTGTCATCGCAGAAGGGCTTGATGCAACTGGAGACTTAGCAGAGTTTGGTGGGGCCACGCCCATACCATAAGGGGGTGCATACGACACCCCACCATAATGCCCATATGGGTGTTGGTAGCCACTGTTGTAATTATATCCAGGGGAAGTGAATGAATTTGCTTGAGGTGATGGACTTGAATGTGACGATGAATCTGATGAATCTTGATCATCTTGCTTGGAAGCATTGCTAAAATTAGTGTCATTATAAACTCCCATTGAGAATTGATGGGGCGCAGGAGGCACTGCCCCTGTAGGGGTGGTTGGATTTGATCTTTGTGGCTCACCAGGTGSTCGATTGAACAAAGATGGCAATGGACCACCCTAAAAAATGGAATGCAATTCAGTTTTTTGGACATAAGATTACCACACACATGATATTTATTTTTAAGGATTCTGAAAGTAACTTAACATGCCAGCAGTTTTGCTTACATCACTTACCTGTTTTTCAACATTTTCTGGTTTTGGTCGCTGAAAATAAAAGATAAAAAGTGAGTTTGAATTTAGTTGACAGTTTGAATTTAGTTGACTTTCTTTGGTTTGTACAATATGGTGTAACATGCTGGGGTGCTACAGTACAAACACTACAAAAAATTGTACAATGAAGTAACTTCACATAAAGTAAGATTCCATCATTTCATTATTTACTACATGCAATTCATTCTATTCTGTGGTAAATAGAGTACAAAAACGACAAAAAGAGTGAAATAATTCAACATTAAGATTCCTTAAATACTGCCAATCTAATATCATTCTGCAGTTTCACATAGTTTTAATTCTATGATCATACCTCACTAGAGTTTATAGATTCCCCAAACCTATCAGGAACACTTGGGTTGCCGACTGCTTGCACCACGGATGATGACAGGCCTCCCCCTGTCCATTCATGACCTAAATATTCACCCATGGGGGTACCACCAGGGTCATGCGTGCCCGCAGATCCGAGCTTACTGGACTTAGGCTTACGCCCCCTCTTTTTGCCTGTCCCAGACTTCTCAGGTTTCTCCCCCTTGTCCTCCTTCTTCCGTCGTCGTTTTTTGGGAGTTTTTTCCTCCAATGGGATGTCACCCAGGTGGTGCTGCTGATGTGAGAGGCCTAAGTCCATACTTAATGCATGCTCGGACCAGAAGTTGGCATCTTTTTTCATCTTTCGAGGTTTGCGATGACCTGAAGGAAGAGTAAYGGGAATTAGATTTATTTTTTTGGGACCGTGTTTTTTGTGGAATTACTAGATTGTCACTTACTTGGTGCCAAATCACTGTCACTTCCAATACTATCTGTGTCTCCTTCTGTGTTAGAAAATCAAAATATATAACCATCTTCTTCAAAGAAAAACGGCTGAATAAAGTACATAATGATACCATATGAATGAAGGATAAGCGAACTTTGTACTGAATTTTAAGTTTAATTTCTTAGTTGCATTTTGATTTCATGTTTTTTTTCTTTTTCTTTATTTTTTCCAGGCATAACATGAGCTTTGTAGGCAAAGCTGTGGTTCCTACATGGCCAGGGAATAACATATGGGGTTTGCATGAACTTTGAAAGCAAAGCTGTGCGGCTCTAGAGTTTAAAGACGTGAAAGCTGTGGTTCTACATGGCCAGGGTTTAATTCTCTTAACAAAGTCAATTCTTTCACAAAAGATTTTTCCACCGTATTTCCACCGTAATTACCTTTCAGCAAACCGTCTTTCCTCCTTTTCCGTCTGTGTTTTTTCAAAGACAACTTCAATCCATCAATCTGAAGGGGAAAAAATAAAAAAAAATTGAAATTACAGCCTAAGTTGCACAAAATGGAGGTTTACCAGTCTTCTTCACTTTCCACCAATTTTGCTCCTTTTGCAGCCTGACTTCACTACACTACTACACACTACATGTTTAGCCTGCTCACTCCTCAACACTTCATGGTGTTCTGTTTTCTCTCCAACCTCTACCTATCCAATTGGAATAAAAACTTTTATACCTCCCCACCCAACCCCATAGAAACAAAACGCACCCTCTGGACCTGAAAAGCCTTGCTTGCATCGTCTTTGTTGCCATCCAGCATTAGACCAGGATGCATCAGTGCACTGTCCATGTCAACCAAGTTGGATAAGACAGTTGGAGAGGTGACGCCTAGCTGGTTTGATAACAGAGGTTCTGGTTTGGGGCGGACTGGCCAGACACCCTTTATAACACAGTCGCAGAGTTGATCAAGTCGCTGCATGACTATACGATCCTGTAARGAGGTAATCAACACATGTTAGATATGATGACAAGACATGTTAGATGGTATTATAATTTACTTAAATTTGCTTTTAAAAGGTTTAGGTTCTTAGAGTGCAAACACCAAAACCATAAAACGTTTAGTAAAGAGCTAAATTGAACTGAATTATCTGAACTCTGAACATTAATTTTCAATTCAGAGAGTTTCAAGACAAAATTCTTGAAGAGCAGATGAAGTCTACAGGTTTTACTGAAAGCAGCAAAGACATCAAACAGTGATAGTACTTCACAGTTGGAGTTCACATGCTTCTAAAAAAATGCAATTGTGTTATCTTAACATATCTAATCACCTTTGGCCATTTGACGTGAACCATTGTGCTCTCACCAAAGCCACCGACCCCTCCCTCAGTACTCATCTGAGAATCATCCTCGGCAATTCCAACTGCGTTTATTACTGATCCAACTGGAGGCAAAGAGTTTGGAACCTCAGACTCTTCATTGTCTAATATCTTAGGTAGACTGTCGGCACTATATTGGCTATCTGACTGGTGACTTGGTGACGATCTATTCTCAGTCCAGTCTACTTTTTCCTTGGCTTCAGTCCCATTGGGATGTGTTATGGCATTTGTTGTTTCAGACTCTTCACTGAACTGTTTTTCGCCATCTAAAGGCTTTGTTTCAGTGTCTTTTTGTGCATCAGTGTTGTTAGAGGTGTTTTGTAGCTGTGTGGGGTTAGCTATCTCAGATGTAGTAGGAGGTTTCTCAGCTTGTTTTGCCTGTGTGGCAATTCTTGTGAGAATTTCAGCAAAACACAACTCTGGGTCGTTTAGTACGTGGTAGTCAGTCCTAACAAGGCCATGCCTGATAGTAAAGAAAAGGTTATGAATGGTTTGGTAGGTTTATAAAATGTTGGGATATTATACAGCTATTTAAAAAAATATCAAATGGTGAAAAGAATGTATTCTAAGACCAAACTCATTGTTAGTTGTATATATTTATTACTGAAAAAATCGAAGTTCAAACCAAACAGGGTTTCAAGTGACAGAAAGCTCAGAAAAACAAAATCTCGATAAAGCTGAGTGTTTGTGCTAATAGCATCCTCACTTATTGCTGTACTTAAAGGAACATGGTCCACCAGCATTCAATGAAGTTTGTCTTGTTTTAGATTTTTCATATATGGAAAATGAGGTGACTTCAAATATCCATTAGCAATTCATTTCCATCCATTGGTTTAAAGGTCGAATCTTAGAGTATCTCCATTCATATAGAATAAAGTGATAATAAAGAGTAGGTTTTTGCTTATGTTACGATGTATTTTTATTTGCAAACATGAGCAAAAGCTTGGTGCAGGTGAACCATGTCACTTTAAAAGGTTGATAGATAATCCAGTGTTATTCACACCATTCTTACCGAGTAACTCCCCTCATTAAGTCCTTGTCATGTACTCCAGGTATCCACCATTCTGGGAAGTCTGAGGATGGTTGGGCAAGTTTGAGTCTTTCATCTAATTCAGGGTGTGGAAGAACCTGGAAATCGCAAATGAGATATAGTTAGAAAATAATCTAATCGATGAGTCTAGTTCACATAATTTGGTGTAGAAATTGAGAAATATTAGGATTTGCGCCACATTGTCACAAAATTCCAGGGCACTTTTAATCCTTTTTAAGCACAAAAGTTGCTTTTCAGGGACTATTTTTAAAACCTTATTTGATGTTTTCTGAATGCTTATGGTGTTGATTTTTGATTTTTTTTTTGATGAAAAAGTTAAAAATTACCATGCAGAAATCAATGTCATGAGTCGAATTCAAGGACTTTTTTGTTTTTCCTATTTTAAGGGCTTTTCATGTGCCCTTGAAATCAAGTTTTCAATTCTAGTACTCTTCAAGAATATCAAATAATATATAAATGGACATACTGTTTCTCTTAATTTAGATAAAAGCTGTATTCTGAATAAGCATCTGCTTGCTCTCTCTTCAGTAATGGGTTCAACATTAGCCCCTCGTTCTCTGTCTTCATCTAGTGGTCGACCACACACTGTCCTACACATTGCCATGAAGTCTTTGAAGTATGCTGTCAATCGGTCATCATTCTTCTTGTCCAAACGAGCAAGTCGTCTGTCATAAAAATGCATTAATGTTAGAATATACAGTGAGCTACTTTTGGCACTATAACTGTTTTAGTTTTTTCAATACGTGCTTTTTATAAGGGTATTTATATTATATTTATATTATAGTATTTTATAAGGGTATTTCTAAGTCTACATCTACATAGTTCCAGCACTTGGCAACATTCATTGGGTTACTAGCTGTATATTAGTATGAGGTCTAGTAGCCTTCACACAAACACTACACTAAGCCAACCTCAATGCTAAGGAGGTAAGCCCTGTGCTGAGGAAATCAGGAAGAAATCACCTGAAATTATGTTTAGCAAATGACCTGAATTGTAACCAGTCATAGGTATCAGATTCCTTATGGTATTCAACACCAAATGTAGAGACAGTTCTGTAAAAATCAACTTCTTCTCTCTTGGACCATCTATAAGTGAAAACAAGTAAATGAGGACACATCCAAAACACTCTGAAAAACTATAGAGCGAGAGTGATACATCAATAAAAAAATCCAGTAATAAAACACTTGAACATAATAAAATTATAAACCTACTTTTGCGCCATTTCTAGTTTCTTCTGTTCTTTTTGTCGTATTGCTTCTTCAAACTTTTCCTTTCTCTCTCTTTCCTGTTTCATAATTACAATTTTCTAATTACCCTATTGATATTGTTTAGTAATGTGAAATGCAAAACATTCAAAGCACACAATGTCACCTCACAAGAAAGAAAACTACAGCCTTGATTTCAACTGAATTGCATTTAGATAATTTGCAAATGATTATTTAGTATGCCTTGCTGTATTTTCTACCTTTTCTGCAGCAGCTTTCTTCATTTCTTGCCGTCTGTGAACTCTTTGATAACCATTCACTAATCTTCTTAGTCTTGTGTTCAAGTCCGATGCAGAAGGCCATCTTAAACCAGATGAGTTGTGTTCACCACCTTCACAGAAAAAAAAAAATTCACATTTTTGACACTGTCATTACTAGTATTATCAACAACATTATTACCTTCAGTGGTCTCTTTTGCTTTTCTTGGTGTTGCAGGAGATGAAACGGCTGAAACTGTATCCTAAAAACAGACAAGAATAACAACCATTAACATTTATAACGAACTCCAAAAACATGCAAAACAGATTTGCAGGGTGTGACACTAACTGTCGTTCTTACTAATAGTTTACAGTTAAGTAAAAATGACTCTAAACAACCCAATATATTGCAGTTTGGTTGTTTTCAAGTCCTTACCTAATGTGGTCAACTATTAGTCTTACTAATCTTTTAAGGTCAAGTACATGTAAAACAGCTCTAATTAACCCATTATGTTGCTATTTGATTGTTTTCAAGTGCTTGCTTTATGTGGTCAAAATGAGTGACAGATTTTCAATACCTTGTCTTCATCATCATCAAGATCATCTTCGTCTTTGATGTTGGTTGGTTGTTGATAATCTGGATCATCATTACCCTCATCATCATCCCTGATAATATATCCAATGAGTTATATCAGTTTTATCAACATTAATTTAGGCATATAATTGACACTGACATCAAAAGGTGTCATCATCATCACTATCATCACCATCATCCACATCATTGCTATCATATCCCATCAGTAGGAAGGCAGCATGGAGTTCTCATCAAGTTTAATCAGATGACAAGTAATCCATGGCATTCATCATCAGGATACATCAATCAAATTGAGCTAGGACCTCATCCTTCACCATCAAATTTCCACTTAAAAGGGTGAAAATCTCTTGCCTCTGGCTCGAAATTTTTTTACTCCTTATTGGTGTTTTTTTTCCCCAACATCCCGCGTGGTTTATTAAAACAGGAACTCATGAAAATGTGTTGTTTATTGCTTAATTAAAAGTTCATGATATATACCTGTCATCTTGTTCTGCATTGTCATTCTCAACATGATCAGAACCACTACGAGGAAGTCCAACTCTTGATATGAAGCACAGCATTGGATCAGCTCTGATAAGATTATATCTCTCATATCCTGTTAGATATGACACAACATTAGTACATAAACAACACTAGCCTTACTCTTCACACTGTGGGCTAAAGGCCTATGTCACACTACAACATAACAGAAGCAGAAGAAGAGAATTTTCTACTTGTGAACTGTGGAAACATTAGTAGAAGCAAAAAGATAATTTGAGAATTGTATCAAAAGAAGCCTTGGCTGTTATTAATATGAAATTCCAAGCTTTTGCTGTCTACAGCATCAGCAGCAGCCAAGACTGAACATTTGATATAATTCTTATGTACACATCATGCTGCTAAAGGATAACTTCCTACAAAAATATGTTTCCATTTCCTTATGTTTCTGGTTCTGCTTATGTTCAAAACTATCATTGTGAACAGCAAAGCACAAGCATCATCCTTATGTCAAGTGTAAACCAGCTTCTGCTTCTGTCTCTGCTCATGTGTGCGTAAGCCCCGTTTCAGATGTCGATCTTTTGCCGCATCTAATTTAATTGCTTACATAATACAGTTCTCGAGAAGTTTGCAGTCTTCATCGATTGATATTTACAGATTATAGTATGTTTGTCCAAYTGAACAAAATCTACTAATGTCAATAAATTCAGAGTACAAAATGCTCATAAACTCAACTCCACCAATTAGATTAAAACTCAACAAAAGATCGACGTCTAAAAGCCCTAAAGCTTGATCAGAAGATGTGTTGACATCATGATTCAGAAGTCTAACATGATAGTAAGCATCATTTCAAGCCTTAAGACAATTACAGACAAAAATGAGCCAAAAAGACCTTACCATGCTTGAACACACCAACAAGAAGTGACTTATCTGCATCGGTATCCCACCAGTCAGCAGGAGGATCACCTTCTGGTGTGTAGATAGTGATATCGAGGTCACTGCAATACAATATGGGTTTATATTAGTATTGTACACTGTCAAAATACAATATTGATATGATGGGTGATGAAGGCTCATTCTTAGATGATTGATTGGTGGGTTGATTGATTGGTTGTTTGGTTGGTTGGGTGGTTGGTTGGTTGATTGGTGGGTTGGTGGGTTGGTTGGTTGGTGTGTTGGTTGGTTGGTTGGTTGGTTGGTTGGTTGGTTGGTTGGTTGGTTGGTTGGTTGGTTGGTTGGTTGATTGATTGGTTGGTTGGTTGGTTGGTGGGTTGGTTGGTTGTTTGGTTGGTTGGTTGGTTGGTTGGTTGGTTGATTGATTGGTTGGTTGGTTGGTTGGTGGGTTGGTTGGTTGTTTGGTTGGTGGGTTGGTTGGTTGGTTGGTTGATTGGTAGGTTGGTTGGTTGGTCATAGAGTTGTTTGGTTGTTTTGGATGGTGGGTTTATTGCTTAGTGGATTTGTGGAGTTGGTGGGTGTGTTGGTTGCTTGGTCAGTGAGTTCTTGCTTGGTTGATTGAATATACTATAGCCTCATATTAGGTAAGGGTTGTCATCATTCTTATCAGAATGTGAACAGCTAGTTGTTAAATCATTGGCTATAGTAAACATTAAATCTATAGAGCACAAACAACAGCAACAATCACATCAAAAAAGGAAAGAAAAAAACGTAAAAAATACAATTGTTTTTTAATTGACAGAAATAAGTGTGTTACCTTGCATTAGCACATGCTCCTTCTTTAATCAATGGAGCCAGACTTCCAATGACTTCAGTCTTGAGATAAAACAGAAGTCTGACACGAAGTAGAATCCTATGAAAAACATATATAAATTCATTATCATCACTATTATCAACACTATCATAATCATCATTGCCATTATTAATAATTCACTATATTGATATCCCATCAGTAGGAAGGCAGCATGGAGTTCTCATCAGATTTTATCAGATGACAAGTAATCCATGACATTCATCATTAGGAAAAATATAGAATATGGCAATAGATGCTGTTTTTCCCTGGGAGAAGTTAGAAGGATAACATACTTGTTACAGTGATGTTGTAGATGTTTTTTGTAGCCATTATCCAGCACAATGCTCTCAGGATCAATGCTCTTCCAGTCCAGTCCAACTTCAATCAAAGCTATAGCACTCTTGTTGGTATTCTTAGAAGAGCTCTTGCCTCTCTTCCCACGTCCTTTTCCCTTGGAAGGAGTGGAGATTGGTGAGTAGGTCTTGTCTCTGTCGTCATGACAACCTTTGTCTCTTGATACCGAAGCCTTGATGATGTCACGTATGAACAACTTGACCTTGTCGTCACCATGGTAATGATGAAGACAGTACACCAGGATGGAGCGAGCAATGCATTCAACATCTCTTTCTGCAAGTTTGCTTTTGAATCGACCATGTAGGAGTATTTCCTTGAACCTTCCCCAGCTAAAAGACACAATATTTCATTTAATTATAAATTATAGATTATAAATGGAGGATATCGTATGAATGACTTACAAGGACTGAATCAAGTTGATTCAATACAACTGATTGTTACTGAAGCTATATATTAGTCAGACTACAAAGTTAAGAGGTAGGATATCACACGAGGGACAAGCAAAGCATAACAAACAACATACTATGCCTCTAACACAATCACTGATTTGAACCAAGCCAACAAAGATTCTGTGATACTTACCCATAAATAAGTAGATTCTTTTCCACTCTGAAACACTCTACTCTTGTCCAGGCAGCTCTTCTTGGTACTATGACCTCTTCTTCTTCCTCTAGATCAGAGAGTTCAAAGTCACCATCTTCATTTCCATACCTCTTTGTTTGTCGGCGCTGACGAGGAACATCAATGATACGTTCGTCCTGCGCAAAAAATTGAGTTGAACAAAAAATAACATATAAATTGGACATAAGGGTTAGTGACCAACATACAACTGCAGTTCAGTTAGTTAGTTTCAAGTTAGTYCATAAAACAAAAGACCAGTAACAGCAATGCTTTTCCTTTGTTCATTCCACTAACATGGATGCCATTCCTTTGTTTAACAGATTCCCTAAGGGTAATTCCAAGCTAAGAACTGGGTTACCTTGTTATTCATGTAGTCCATGTCAAGATCTGCTTTCTTGGCCCACTTTTTCCAAAAGTCAGGATCATCAATATCAATGTCCTCTTCTCCTCTTGCAGACACAAAACTGGCCTGTATAGAAATAACAACAAGTACAATGGTAAGATAAAGTGATGGCTTAAAGGATACATATACCATGCAATTGAAAGGGCCTCATATTAGAAAAGGGTTGTCATCATTCGTATCAGAATGTGAACAGCTAATTTTTAAATCATTGGCTCTTTATGTTCGATGTAGCTTTATGGAAGATGCATTTGCAATGACCAGACACTTATTTTGTTTGCTGATCCAGAGTTGAAGAGAAGCTCACAAATGGTAGGTAACAAGAGGTTAGAAGGTAAATTGTCCATTGGTTTTGTAAGCTGTAAGTTTGTAAGTTGATTTTTTTACCTTTGCAAATGTAGAGCCTTTGCCTTCAGATTCAATCTGGATTACTTGAGTTCTTCTTTCCAGGATCTGATCGATATCTTCTTCACAGAATCTACAGATTAAAATAATGATGAAGCAAACTTACTAAAATGTATTCACCATATAAACAAACATTGCAAGTCCAAGACTTCAATGTTGAAAGGCATGACATTTTTTTTCATAATGAAACAAGTTTAGTATTTTTAAATTCATTAAATTAATTAACAATGCGAATGCATAAAAAAGCATCTAAGAATATGATTATTACTCTATTGGACAAGTTTAACATTATTCTGTAATAATCATTTTCATCATCACTTAAAGCAGACTTGGATATGCATTATAAAAGCCTTATCATCATCATCTTCATCAATCATAGCTATCAATGATTTATTAGTGCCCTTACTTGGCTGCATCGTCACCATCTTCATCCATGATTGCACCATAGGCACCTCTCTTGAGAAGGTCTTCTATCTCTCTCTTAGACATTGAACCCTRTCAACAACATTGGAATGGATTGATTAAACAATGTGTCTCATTCATAAGTATTTGCTATCTTTTATCACCATCTTAAGCATAGTCACAATCATAAGAACCTAAGCTAGTTACATTTCTACCTGTGTCCACTTAAGTGTTCACTTATTAGCATTAGTGTCATTATCATAATCATTATCATTATCTAAAGCATGGTCACAATCACAAGATTCTAAGCTACTTACATATTACTACCAGCAATCTCTCTAGTATCATTATCACAATCATTATCATCATCATTATCTTAATCACAGTCACAATCATAAGATCCTAACTTACATTGCTACCAGCATTCTCTTTAGTGTTCATTGACTGCAGYACAGCCTTATCCAAACCAAGCTTTAGACTAGCTCTATCAAACATCTCTCGTTCATAGGAATTCCTGGTAATTAACCTGTAAACCTTGACAGATTTACTCTGACCAATCCTGTGACATCKTGCTTGTGCTTGRAGATCATTCTGWGGATTCCAATCAGAGTCAAAGATGATGACGGTATCAGCGGCTGTGAGGTTAATACCCAGTCCACCAGCACGAGTACAYAACAAGAAYACAAATCGATCAGAATCTGGCTTGGARAATCGATCAATAGCTGCCTGGCGCAAGTTCCCACGCACACGACCATCAATTCTTTCATAGGGGTACTTCATATGGACCAGGTAATCCTCCATGATGTCCAGGCACCGTACCATYTGCGAGAAGACAAGAACCTTGTGKCCTCCAATCTTGAGTTTKGGTAATAGTTTATGRATCAAGACAAGCTTTCCAGAGGCTTCTATCATTGCRTGCATATGTCTGTCAACTCTGTGATTGACAACTTGGTTGTACTCGGACATTATCTTCTCCTCGGCTCCATTGATTAAGAATGGATGGTTGCAGCATTTTCTAAGCTCCATCATGGTGTTCATCAGGTTTGGTACATTGGCTGAAGACCCTGCACCCTTGGCCAGGAAGGCAAARTTTCTTTCTATGATAGCACGGTAGAACTTCTTTTGGACTGTAGTCAGTTCAACCTAGAAAAATATATATATATCATTTATTGAAGTTTTGAAAATATAAGTACCAGAATTCTGGGGTAGGTTGTACAAAGGGTGAATAAAATTAGATTTATGAAATCAGGTTTTGGGTAGGTCTTCCCCTCACTCTTATGTATGTATATCCCCTCACTGTACTGTTCTTAGAATGACACTTTTTGTCTTTTTGTTTTCTTAATTTGTTTTGAAAAAGTATATTGGATTACATCTTCCAGCCCACACAGGTATTTTGGGCATTCAATTGTATTCTTATAATTAAAATTACCACTTCAATTAATATCAAGAATTTTGTTCCTCCTACCTCAATAATGGTCTCTTCTTTTGGGGCAATGTTCTTCTCTACATCTTCTTTCAGTCTTCTTAACATCATTGGCTTCAATAGCTGTTTGAGYTTCTCCACTTGTCCCTCAGTCTTCAAGTTACCAAACTCCATTAAGAAGGCTTCCTGGCAAGGAAACTGTGCAGGTTCAAGGAAGTTCAATAGACTGAACAGCTCATCTACATTGTTCTGAAGTGGTGTTCCAGTAAGAAGAATTCTGTGTTCCTATAACAATGAGAATAAAGAAAACATATTAAACATAAAAAAATGCATTTTTTTCAAAGTTTTGTTATTTTCACAAACATTTTTTTGTGATAATTTTTGTTGTGCAAATGTTCTCCTTGTTGAAAGGTGCTTTCTGATTGGTTCAAARYGCAAAGAAGAAGAATATTTATGGATGAGAAAATTGGTTCTTTGATGCATGTTGKCCTTTGAATATCATAATTGATCCCATCAGTAGGAAGGCAGCATGGAGTTCTCATCAGATTTTATCAGATGAAAATAAATCCATGACATTCATCTATTAGGATCTATGGTTCAGTTTGAAAGAATCATGACGTTTTTATAGGCTTACCATTTTTAAGTTGTTTAAGCCTTCCAGTAGCTTGCARTTTCGATTCTTAAGGCGATGTGCCTCATCAATAATAACAGCTCTCCATGGCACAGTACAGAGTTGCATGTTATCAGCTGAAACGAAAAAAATATTTTGCTTGTTAAATTTTCAGTGGTAAACTGTGTTTGTATTCCACCAGGCACTTTTTTATCCCTTTGCAACATAGATATAAATCAGCCTTAAGGCTAAAAGGTTTAATGAATTAAAGCTATCTATCTACCTTCCTTGTATTTAATACAATTATAAAAATAACAAAACACAACACCAATTACATCACCCTCACCGATAATTATCTCATATGTAGTCACAATCACTTGGAACTTGAAAATKCCAGGAATTGGATGACCCTGAAAGAAATAAGGATATGTTATTGTCTTTATKTTCATAACAGAGTGCTACATGTGGTATTACAATTGATACAAAACAGTAATAAAMATGTCAGAAGAAAAAGAGGAATAAGCCCAACTTACAAGTTCATCTCTGTGGTAGAATTCATACTCCTGGATGAGATGTCGACTGGAAGCACTGTAGATGAAAATGTTTCTTTAGTACATGATAACACAAGGAACAGTCTTTCAGTTTTTTAACTGCTTTTTTTAAAGAGAGAAATAGTTTTCATATCATATGATTCAGTAGTTACTATTTTAAAAAATTACAAGAGAAAGTATTTTTTCTTTTTCTACTTATTTTAACATTGAAAATTATGCTTTTTACTGAAATACCTTCCATGATAGACAACAACATTCATGTCTGTCCAGGACTCATATTCTCGAAGCCAGTTAGAAATTGTTGACAAAGGAGCTATGATTAAGAAGGGTCCTCGTACACCATAACGCTGAGGAMATAAATAAAATAGATCAATGCCATTGGTTAATGTATAGAGTAATAATYAAATGCCAAAATACAATGWCAGTAATTTTTACAATGAGCTCAAAACTCACCTGCATCTGACAAGTAAATGCTATCGATTGAATTGTTTTACCTAAACCCATCTCATCAGCGAGAATAGAATTTTGTCTGCAATGGATTCAAAAACATCAGTTAAATCAACTTGCTTTCCCTRCTATGATTCGTTCCATTTCACAAAATATYGGACACTTGGCTTAAGAATATTGTTTTTAAGTCCCTGGTCACCCCAGATGTCTGAACTTCATCACAAACTTCATTCAAACATTACATTCAAATTCAGTAGAAACAATTCATCACGACTTCAACGTTACATTTACATTTTTCTGCGACCTTGGGGCAGAGCTTGCTGCAAATCAGCCAATGACTGAATGAGTTTACGAAAAGCTCTGCCCCTTAGATCAATGGAAAGAACAAAACCAAAACAAACTTCAAAACAAAGGAGTTCGCGACGCAACAATTTTAGCTGTAATATCTCTGTATTTTTCAACTGTAATTCAACTGTTTTTTAGACACAAAAACAGTTTTGTTTTTTTTAAACATGGTTTTTTTTTATTTTTAAATTGACAAATACAACAAAGGCAACTTGCAAACAAACTTCATAAATCTATTAGGCAATGTTTTATGAAATACATCATTAACTGAAGAGAAAAGATTCATTTTCCTTTGAAAGTACAATATTACAATATTTTCAGAATATTCTGTAGGTATAGTTACAGCAACAACCCATTTAAAGGTTATGAAAATACACAGCAATATGTGTTATAAATGTTGCAGACAGACACTTACCTATTACACCAACAGAAAGATAGCCAATTGACACCCTCTAACTGGTACTCTCGTAGAGTATTGCCATCTTTAAATACTGGAGATTGATCTAATCTGAGCCATTCGTGTGGATGAGGTCTTGGCCGGAACTGAATTTACAATATCCAAAACAATTCATTTAAAAAAATGCTTGTATTATCAGAGACAGAGATAAATAGTGTCCAACTTAATTAGAATCACAGAAGTAGTCTGAATAAACCCTTTTAACAGTCTCTTTTACACTGTAGTAGCCTTGCAATCTTGTAATATATAATTCTTTCATTCAGATCTATGAGATCCATGAGTATTAAAGAAAATGAAAATATTCTGAAATCTCACAAATTTTAGCTAAATTTCCACATATTTTACACAAATTGAGACTAATACTGTAAAAGAAATCGCAAAACTCAACAAGTGCTCTCATTTTATATGAGGGGGACGTAATCCTTTATAGCTCATATCATCGAGTACCTTCGTCCCCRATGCCCTGGTCAGTGACCATGATATTGTGCCATTTTTGAAAGTCGTGAATAGTTGTTTTTTTTTACCTGTCTTAGATGCATTGGTGGCGGTTCTCTTAGTTTATAGAAATCCTGTACTTTTGACTCCTCAACATCAGCCTTAATAAGAAAACCAACATTATTTCCATTAGAATAGCACACCACCCATAATTCAAAAAGAGTCTCTAATTTTTAAAAGGAGTTTTCAAATTGTAATTGATAATAGTGAACATCAATAAACAGAACTAATAATGATAGCAATAATAAAGTTTTCTTTACTTGAAATATAACAATATAGAAAGCAGGTTCTAGGTCAAGGAATGTGACCACAAACTGTTGCATATGAATAATGTTCTTTGTCTCTTTAAATTTTCAATTAATGTGCTTTTTTTTTCCTAGAATTTTATCTGACTGTCTCACCTCGACTTCCCAGGTACTGTCCTCGTAAGGTAAAGAACGCCACTTTACAAGATAATGAGTAATGGGCTGAAAAATATTATAAAATTACAAAATATAAKCAATTCAGTTAGGTTTCTAAATACAATGAATGGTGTTGTGGCTTAAGTTTCTTYTTCAATGAAGAGTTTGAAAGGTTTTCTGGTCTGGGATGTATGTTTGAGGTTTGTGGATGTCATTTTTGTTTTAAAACTGTTTAACGTTACTTCAACTTGAATTTAGCTTTATCTCACAGCTGCGTGCATTTGTTCAACATAAGTTTAAATGCAGCTCTTCAAACAAAAGCTATTTTCAAGTTAAAATGTGCATTTTTGATCACTTTTTTAATGAAATCGGGTGGTTAACATAATGGCATGTTTCTAAATGTTATTTTTTATTCATATGACAAGACTATTATAGGTATGATATAAATGTTTCCACACAAAAAAACATTAACAACACATATCATTGATGATGTAGAAATAAAATCTAACTTAACAGTTTTATATTTTTAAAGTAAAAAAAGAGACCTGTAACCGTTCAAAAACGAGTGTTTTCTTTCATCTTGATCATTTCAAATACATTGTCAAGTTGATCAATACTCCCTCAAATGATAACTTGTTTTTCTACAAAAGTAACAATTATAATTACCTCTTTTCTTTATTAAAACTATTTTTATTTAAACAAGCTAAATTAATCCTCTTGTTTCAAATTTAATATTTTTCAAGTCAACTACTAGATATATATTCCTGTTGTTGGTGTGAGGAAGAATTACTTCTCTTAGCACATGTGTTAAGTATATTCAAAAACAACAATTTTCCAATCAAAAGCTAYGTGCTGCTACCACAYTTTCTCGGAAATGTTTACTTCTTTATGCTGCAAAGAAACAGTATTGRCTGRCAATTTCTGAGTTTCATYAATATGACAATGAAAATTMCAGCATTTTCRTCATTWAGTGATATCTTATCAAGGAAAACTAATACAATATTATATTCTCTATTCAAATGACACTATTTTTCTTTAATTCATTTTTGATTTTAACTTGTTCTCATTTATTATATATAAAATTGTGTTATYTTAAAATGAACTTTTGATTGATTTATGCAAATGTTTTAATTTTTGAGCTTACTATTGGTAATCATAATTAAAKTGATTTAAAATAAAATATATCCTGCCTGCAATGGCTAATATTTTCAGTGCTAATAACAATATAGCTTTAGTCCAGCTTGTTCTATATCTAAATTGGCAATGATATGCTATATATTCAACTCAGGTCATCTATTTGTTTTCTTACAATTTCTTGCATGAAAAACACTCTTTCTAATAGCTGATGTTATTATTATTYAAAATACCAACAATAAAAAAGCAATACTTTCTGTATAATAGATCTATAGGGAGAATATTTTGATCTATGTATGTTTGATATTTTGTAATTAAGAAAGTGCCAAATAGAGGGAAATGCTAATGGAATTACTTTCTTACGTAATGCAAGGATTGAAAGCAAGAGCTTAAAGTATCATTTTTTTCTGTAAAACTACTATTTAAAATTGAAAYATTGAAAGAAAGTTTGCATTCTCAAATGATGAGAAACAGCACTCATCCAAGCATACTCAATTCATTGCTCCCGCAGAGAGACAGCCACATCTAGACATGCAAGTAACTATGTCTTATACATGGAGCATGGCAAATTGCCTTCCTCTCTCAGACAACAACCATTTTGGGTTGATTACAAACGTCAATTTACACACATTTGTACACAATAGTCACCAGCTGTCAATCATCCAGACGACATTCATAAGGATTAGATGCCAAAAAGGAACAGCGTCAGACTTTGAATTAATTGAAGGATCTTCTCAAACAGCCTTTCTGAGTACTGTATCCACAGTGGCATATTCACATTACATACAGTGTCTGTAYTGGTGGTCATTGGTGAGATAGGTAATACATGGTCAGTGATTTTTCACAGTGAAAAGTGAACATGAACCATTCAAGGAACAAAAAGGACAAACAAACTGAGACTAAAAGGTAAGAGATCTAAAAACCATAAAACAACATCACAAAAAAAATCATGAATGACATAAAAATCAGTCTATAGTGAAGTCAAATGACTTTGTAATAATAGTCAATGAAACAAAACAAAGATTTCAGCAAAAAAAAAAAAACTCTACCAGCCCCAACTTATCTAGCATTAATGATTCATAAAACTAGTAAAAAAAAGAATGGCTTAAAAAAATATGTGCTATGGAAGAAAATGTGWGAACTAGTGGAAAAACATCACTAAAACCACCTGCACTGGTGTTGTCTGCGAGACAAAATTGAAAAACACTGCAGTACACTGAAAAACATCACTGTAAATCTATGTTTATGGACACCAAACATTTCTAAAACCACGGCACTACTACACTAACGCTTTTGCAATCAAAATAACAGACTGTATAGCCAGTGTTAGAGTGAAAATTTTGATCACATTAATTATTCATGTTCATGAAGCAACCATAGAAGATAATTTGCATTTTTCACAGACACGAATATTTTCTATTGACGGAGACATCAAAGTGATTGCCCCATTCTGTAGGATGTCAAGACAAATAAGATTTAAATAACTGGTGTATGCCCAAAGGGGTCAAYATGTGATTAGCTATGGGTTCGTAAKATGATACCGTAATTAACGGGATTTATACACAGAACACATTAGAAGTGATGATAGCTGTGTCTCGTCCATGAAATGGAGTTCCTGTATAAATGCTTTGGTTTATAAGCGAACAAACAGTGCCTGTCACAAAGACTCTTAACACATGGTATTGTGTTGACACGTGAACATACAGCTAAGCCTTTAGTTTTCAGCAATAATGATATGTCTATAAATAGAGGATTATTGAGAATGGCGTTGTTTCATAGGTGAGAAGTGACTGTGATTGTCACCTTGATAGGAAACGAGTATACTTTAACATCAATAATGCCCATGTAATTGTTGATTTAAGAGATGAGTGGGTGCCATAGCAACAACACAATACTAAAAGTCATTCTAAAATGAGATAATTAATTGATGATAAACAATTATGATTTTATTTAAAGCTTATATTAAATAGAAATCTGAATTTCAAATTGAATGTAAACTCTTCAAAAAAGATGAAAAACGGAGAAAAAAATAGATMTTTATTGCCATAACAATAATTTTTTAAACACAAACATACCAACAAATTGTATTTAGGTATTATTCAGATACTTTATTTTGTAGTGCTSCCTTTTTAATAATCAACTAAAAATTATACTATTAATCAAACAATAATTATTTATATATTATTTTTATCATAGTAGSAATTGTATGATATTACGGTATTTATCAAAGTTATTTATAAATTAACATGTTTCTATTCTTATTCATACAATTAATATTCTTTCCAGTATTTTGTGGACAAAAAATCCAAATTATACTAGATAGTTATATAAGAATGATAGTCTTTCAAATACAAAAATAAAGTAATTTCTTGAGCATTATGTTTATGATCAAATTCAACTAATACTCAAAATAATCGATTAGCGGATTTGTCTCATTTGCCTATCAAAAAATTGCTARTATTGCCATGTGCATCAATTTTTTCAAATTTTATTTTTTCTTTTTCTTTTTTTTCCTTCTGTTTTTTTTATAATTCCTTGATAGCTAACAGGGTTTCATTTTTTGGTTTATACCAAGAAATAACTCTATTCTTTAGTTTTTTATTTATTTTTGAACGATGCTTTTTTAGTATAATTGGTAGTTTTTTAGATGCTTTCACYATACATGTAAAACCAAAAAAAACAAAGATTCAAGAGTTTGAAATGAATTTTGTAAAAATCCACTTGAACATTGACATTTTAATTCTTGTGCCSTGTATTTGGATTTATACTTGATAAATAAAAACTGAAATACCCCAAAAATGCTTATGATAAAAAAGGAAATTTAGGCTTGGAAGTTATTTGTTCTTTTCTATAGTGGAACTCAGTCAGTACTAAATTGAACAAACTGTCTATAAGGTAATACTCACTGTTAGTATCAGAAAGTCTAGTTCAGAGGAAAATACACTTTTTAACTCTTGAATTTAATCATATTATTTTGAACAGGAGAGGAGAATAATATTCTAACAAGCTGTAAGGTTACATGAGAGTGATTTAAAAGATAACCTCAGAAAATGTAGGGTTTTTTGGTCTTAAAATATAAAGAACTAGCATAAGCGAGACTTTACTAAATTAACAACATCAAATCATAATAAGCACATTGYATTAAGTTAGAAAGGAATATTTACAAAAATATTTTCTACACAGTGTGGGCTGAGATACGTTTTCTACACAGTAATACTGATAAGTCTTTTTAGGATGTTTTGCTGTCATCTTGTAAGTTCTTTTTTACTATCAAACAATAAATTAATACAAAAAGAGAACTTGTCTTCTGCAAAAGTGAATAATTACTTTATTTTTTATTTCAAGTTTGAATAATAACRTTAGTCGTGTTCATCGGTTTCTCTGCCAGTAATGAATGATAAAYAAAAGACTCCACGTGTACACAGTCATATGTAGATGCCCTACAAGCATGATTATTTTACCATAACTGTCCTAGTAAATAGAAACCAGAACCAAAACAGCCTTGACCTTAGGTAAACATTGTCAAATAGGGGCTCATTTGCATAGTAATGAGCATGTAAAAAGCCTTCTTACAAACATGATTTGCATGCTACTATCAAAAAATTGTGCCTTAAATTTAAAAACCATTAGGGATACTTATTCTAAATACAAAGGCATATTATTTTAGACTATAACTTTTTAGTTTTGAATGAAATGTTACAGGATTCAGTTGGKTTTTGTTTCTTTTGTACAATGAGCCATCTGTTTGCTGTACTATGCCTGGGGGGTCTTGACAACAGTACATTTAGTATTCAAAAGTTATATTGGCACGTGAATTTGCCAAGCTGCAAACAAACTGTTCTCAATGGAAGTCAAGTAACAGTTTGTTGAGTCAGTATCAGGACTAAGTTTCTTATGTTAATTTTGGTTTGTAACTTTGTTGGTGCTTTCTGCTAGTGTGTACATGTACTTAGTTCTGTTTGTGGTTGACTCTGTTGTGTTTGGCATGGTGTTGTTTTTGTGTGCTTGCTATTTGCATGTTTTGAGCTCTGCTGCTGTTTTCTCTGCATGTGTTGTATTGCTTTTGTCATTGATAGTTTTGCTCTGTTGTAGAAATTTGCTTCCTTGTTTTTTTTTCTGTTTGTGTTTTTGACCTACCTCTCCTGAATGTTGATCAATTCCAGTTGATACATCCAAGACGCGATCTACCTCCACATAATCGGGATTAAATGGTTCATCTTCCATCTAAATAATACCATAATACATTTCAATATATTAGCATTGCATTCACGACATAAATTGTGCAGATTCAATAACAATTTTTTTCCCACTAAATAGCTTTTTATCCATGCAAAAACCTTYTCTAATGCTACATGAACTAGGTGATTGTCTGTGTAGAAGAATAGTTACTTAAAGAGTTCTGCCATTGTTTGAATGAGTTCATTGTGGCTTTTGTTATTTTCACAAATACTGCACTTATTTGCTACTGTTTCAAAAGAAACTTTTGAGTTGATACAATACAAAAGAAATCACAACCAGAACAAAAGACAATATGAAGACTACATTATTTTCTTTTGGAAATCAAACAAACCATAGCYATTTTAAATGGTAGYGATCATCCACAAATACTAGWAATGTTTCAAAGAATGTTATAAGTCTCAAAGTTTGACAGCAGCTTCAACRATTTCAAATTAAATGCGCATGTCACCATTTAAATTATTAGGAAAATGCACAGTTTACAAGCAAGATCATTCAATGACCTGACTTTTAGTGATGGGTATAATAGAGTTGTTTCCAAACAAAGTCTAATAGAGAAGTGCAATAAAGTCAAATACAGAAAAAATTAGAAAACATGCAAAATATAGAGTAATAAAATATAGTATGTTAAAGTGTATTTCACAGTTAATGAAAAGCATCCTAAGCCAAAAAAAAAAAAAAATTAACAAAAATACACACAACATTAAGAATTACGTTACATTTCATCGTGTCTTGTCATCTTGGTTTTTGCCTTTTATTTATTTTTTAACCTTAAGTAGTTAAAGTCTTTTTGAAATTGCTGTGTTGATATAATAATGTATACATACTTCTTGAAAGAAAGGTGAGATGTTTTGCTGTTTGGCAATATAGCGTTTTATTTTCATCTGGATTCTTTTGTCCCCTCTTGCAAGTTTCTCTTGTGTAGCCCATTCTGAGTGTAGGTAGGAGCTGAGAGAAAACCAAATGTTAGTCTAGTTTACAACATAATTTACCACAAAACTGTGAAAATATCAAAGAACTGTTTGAAGTTATTGTCATTTAGTCTAAAGCCATTGTAAAATCATGTGTCATGTTTTGAAAACCTTAGGAAATAGCAAATGTAAAGAATAATTTCAAACTTCAAAGGAATATAAGTGAGAAGAYGTTTTTTTTTTGTTTTTGTGTTTTATTATTATTATATTTTTTKGGGGGAGGGGGGAGGAAAAGGGTTCAATAAGTTAAAACTAAGATAATGAGATGTGTGTCATATTATGGAACTGGATAATTGTGCTTTTTAGCATCATTTKGGAATCATTTTCACTTCATTGACTTAACATAGTACTCTTATGAAGTTTAGTGAAGTCATTCCATTAGAAAATAATCAATCCAAGATTATGGTGTTTTGCTACAACATTCAAAAAAAGACTTATAGTGACTTCTAAGAGGTCCAAATAACAAGCTTATTTTTTCACTCATGCAGTTATTTCGTTTCTTATTAATTAATTTTTGATAACTTATTTTCAAAAGTAAAAATAACACATTTATGGTTTGTTTATAGGTTGTACATGTAGGYAATTTATGTCATATCTTAAAACATAACAATGCTTTCATGATACAAGGAATAATACATGGTCACTTGGCGATGTGGGTTTCATATTTCAACACTCAAAGTTAAAATCCATATCTCAACACGCCCACGTGATATCCTCTATATATCAATATTTACTTTATGGCTATATTGTGTTTGACTTTCACTTTATTCCTTGTTCTATAAAACATTTTTCTGATAACTTTTGCAATAAGTACTTATCCTCTTAAAGTTGAAAAAAAAACTTTAAAAAAATTCATTCCTWAAGACCACTGAATTACAAACATAAATAAGACTAAAATTCTTTATAATATTTTAACTCAAGAATGAACACATTAACAATATCAACTGCTTACTAGTTTTTGTATTTGACGAGGAATTCTTCTACTGGTGTAGTTGATTCTCCTTCTTCACTCTGTCATAGCAAAAAAGCCATTTGATATTAGTTGAGTTTGGCTGTGAGGATTGACAGGGACTTAAATTGATCTTAAGGACCTATAACACATCATCACCAACAGCAAATTGACTAGTACATTGACAAATTAACACTTTGGATTATCAGATTGTGGTCTAGTTAAAATACATTAGAAGAACAAGACCTGTAAGCTCTTGATAGGCTAAAGAGATAAACAAAACATCACTTATCACATGTTAATCATGGTAAACTCGCCAGAAAAAGCTTGTTTCAATCAAAGAAAGATAAGCCAACAAAAACACTGGAGATAATTACATCTCTGGATTACTCAATTAACCTCTGTTTGGGCTTCTTTAGTGGGTCAATGAAGTAGAAAATAATACCTTAACATCTCGTACTCTCTTTGCTAAAATTTTCTCTACTATCATAGTCTCCTCGTACTCCTCTACAGGAGGAACTGGTACAGCTTCACTGGTTGGAGCTGCAGTGTTGGAAATAGGAACAGAAGCTGGTTGGGGGTGATGRTGGTGCTTCCCATCTCCATCATCGTCTGATAAATTATAATCAAAGTCATCTTTGTATGTCTTTTTGCGTCTTTCACGTAGAGATCTCCGCTAAAACAAAAAACAACAACATAAAAATAAGCTTGATTTGTTTACTGCTTCAGTTTTTGACAAAGAAACCTTGTATGTGTGTGAAGTACAGATGACAACAAAATCATCTTTTTATTGGGAGTTTTTCACATCAAAATCTGCACTGAACATTACATAAAAAATATTCTTGAATTATGTGTCAAGCAGACAACATTTTATAGAGTTTTAAACATTGATAAAAGAAACCCTATATAAAATGTCTGAGCAAGAAATAACAATGAAAACATTTTTAGATCTTTTTTCCACTTTCAAGTAGCATTCTCCACTAAGAAACTCAAGTAAAATCTTTCACACTCAAGGTAAAACATTTATACTCCTTCTSAAATTATAGTACTTCAGTTAATATTCTTGTTAAAAGGAAATCTTTAGAGGCAAATGGGTCATTAGCTTGTACTACGTTATAAGAGCAGTGATATCGCTTGATCTATATATAGACAGACAGTCTTGAAATGAAAGCCCAAATCAAACAAAACCTGTTGATTCTGAGATAAACTCCTAACCTTAAAACAAACATTACAAAAGAGAGTTTTAATCTAACTTGCAGACATGTATGACATCTATACACGTGTGCTATTACAAGATGCAAATCAAATTGGGGTCTTCAAGCACACTGGCCMAAATCAATATACATTTATCACACATGAGAGAACTAAAAGTCCGGCTATATTTTCAGCTTGACTGAACAGCAAATTTCAGAAGCTACATGCGATACAAGCTGTTCTTAATAACAGTGGTTGACCTTTCACAAACCACAATTAGAATAGAATGATAACAAATCCACRCATAACTATTAATTTAAGCTAAACTCTAGTGCGTAAAATATAATTATTATACCTTATTTCAACCAAAATATTAGGAGGATATTCATCAACGTGTCAGTCATCGCTACTTACGGTAATACTTGAACCCTGGTCTTCATCAAAACCAAGTGGAGAGGATGGTGGCGTAGGTTCGCAGTCTGAATCTTCTTTTTTGTTCTTTTGTGGAGACGGCTTTGATAATACAGTAGCTGGCGGCCTGTTAGATACCAATATACCAATTAAAACTGTTGCAATTGTTTAATTCACGATTAATTAATTAGATAATAAGACGGGATAAAAGTGATAATAGCAAAAGCTAACACAATTWATAAAAGACTAAAAAGGGTTTTTGATTGGGTAGACAATGTACACAATGGTGTTGGAGGCTCTTACAAAGCCCATGAGAAGAGATTTAACACAAAAACAAATAATTAATTGATAATTGATAATCACAAAAAGATCACCATTTTTAACAGTGGATTATCTCAAGACAACAACAATAGTCATATAACAGTTACCTTGACATCCTGGCGACTGGTTTGTTTACAATTGACGGACCAAGTTGAATGGGCTCTGACCCTTTAAACGCCATATTTCTATCTGGAGTCATGGGATTATTACCATTATTAGGCTTGCGTTGGGTGCCTGGAAAAGGAGGAAACTGTGGCATCATCATGGACGTATCATTCTGAAATGCTGACTTTGCCATTGCTTCAACTGCTATCCGATTTGCTTTTTCTTGAGGTAACTGCCTCACATACATCTGATTCTGACTCTGCATTTGATAATTCTGTTGCATTCGTTGTTGCTGAATCATATAAGCRTGACAAAGTTGCTGAAACTGATGTTGAAGTTGCTGAATCTGTGCCTGGACTTGAGGGGGTTGCTGAGGCATCTCTCGCAACTGTTGTATCTGTTGTTGGTGACGCTGCATTTGTAGTAAAATAGAAGATGTTTTAAGCTGTGCTAGATCCTGTGGTGATGAAATACCATATCCTGGGTACTGGTAACCCTGTCCTTGGGCCATGGGATTAAAACCCTCAGTATTTTCGTCCATACCCATGCCATACCCATGCATGGAAGGATTATTATAGGAGTTAAACATAGTCGGGTCCATATTGCCATTGCCTGGCGAGTCTCTAGACATTGGCACATTATTGCCTTTCATTCCATAAAATGGGGGGAAATTCTGAACAGGTTTAGGCTGTGTGCCATCCTTTCCTGATGTGGGTACTGAATTTGGTGACATCCCACTTGTTAAGTCCTGTTGTTGTTGGTTCAAATCGATCATATTCGGAAAATGCCTAAGCTGTGATTGTGGACTCTCTTGTTGTGCTTGTTGTTGCTGTTTTGAATTCGATCTCTCCGGTGAAGGAGTTGAAAATCGTAAATTTGAGTTCGGTGAGGGCACTTGTTGTTGGCCTAGACGAGAAGCCTGTGAAACTGGCGACATGTTAACGTTATTTAAAGTYTGTTGTTGGTCCGCGTAATGTTGAAGTCGAGGAGAGCTAGCACGTGGATATCCGTAATCAAATAATCCTCTGTAAGGAGCTTGTTGCATTGTAGAGGCAGGACGTGTTTGATCAACGAAGGGGTACGACGAAGATGGAGGCGGTTGGGGTCCTCGCCACGACACATTCATCTGTGAACCTCGAGGGCCAAACTGTTGCATCGAACGATTCTGTAACTGTGTAAACTGTTGCTGTTGATCGCCTTGCATTGAAGCAAATGGCTGTCCAGGGGATGATGACAATAGTGGGTCGTTGAAATGTTGCAATTTCTGCGAGTTTTGAACAAAACCACCTTGCGTTGATGCGGACATTGGATCTACGAAGTGCTGTAGTGATGGCTGTTGACCGCTGTCGCTTGCTGTTTGATTCTGGTTAGAAAACGAAGGGAACGAGCTACTATGTTGAAGTCTATCTGAAGACTGAGGGGTTTGATTTCCAAATGACCCATACGGAGAACTCTGTAAGCTCGTCATGTCCTCMATAGTAGAGCTCCCCGATTCAAACATCCCCAAATACGGATCTGCCATGGCAAGATCGTCTCGCCACTTCGTAAACGCACTAACGAACTTTCAAAGATCGTAGTTCCCTCCACAGTGGTCCTCTACGATCCAAAAGTACTATATAGTCATTTCCAAATTGTCTTTAACTTTGGCTTTTCTTCACAGGCCATCAAAAAATATATTTCGTACTTTGTATTCCACGTCTTTGTCCGTTCACCTAGAAATGAAACTGGGGTCAGTAAAAAAATAAGTGGTACATTTCTAATCCTACAAAGGCTCCCAAACTCAATCAATTAAAGGTAATTTGATATGTAAATATGGCCAAAAACATAAAAATACGTGATCGAGGTTTTATGAAGTTGTAGTACTTCGACACATGTGCACATCGGAGGATCTAGCAATGAATGACCATCGGGTTCAAGGCCATGTTTAGCAGAACGTAACGACGGCCGACCGAATCAAGTCGAGTGCTTCGGAATTCTTGATGTTCCTCAATTAAAGGGCTTCGGAAATCGCCAAAAACTGCTAAAATACTAACCACGATGAGACGAAGAGTAACTAAAGAAGCCAAACGATAAGGCAAAAATCCAGTGCGATGACAAATTACGAAATTTATGATCGTGCTTTGAGCGGGTATCTCTTGTAGCGAGCCCCACTCCCAAACGGTCGGTCTCGCTTGCCTTCAAAAATTAGATTTCGGTTGAAAAGCTCAATTTCAATCCAGTTATAAAGTGCTGTAATGTTTTCCTCGGTTGTGGGAAAGTACCGGCATCCATCTAAACAGCGATCATTGTAGATTAGTGAAGAGAAATTGGACAAAACACAACAATCATCACCACCGTCATGCCAGGTGAAAAACCCCTTCACTAGTTGTAACACAACAAACTAAACTCGCTTCGCAGTTGATTCATATGTGCAAATTGTTGTCCAGACTCCAGTATCTAAACAATTTCAGGTGAAGGTCTCGGGGGAGCCAACAAGATGCTAAGAATTGTCACTGAAACCTAAACATGCTCTGAGTAGCGACAAAACCACGCTGGCTTGCAACGTCAAAGTCAGAACAAAAGCGAAATAAGTGAAATATAGGACGATATTTTGGCTGACTTACACGAGCGCTACGAGAGAGGAACTGATGTCATTCCAGGTCAATAACCAGATAAAAACACGGTGAAACAAGAAAACAGCAAACTAACCTAAACAACATGAAGTTTACAAAGCCCGTAGAAGGAAAAAGAGTCGGCTAAAAATTCCTTGCAGTGAATAAAGCCACAGTTCTGTGAAAGCTCTTCGATGAATATCATGCTTTCAGTGGCGACCACGTTACGGGCCTTGAATCAACCAATCAGAGCGGGCCATCTTGACAGGACCCGGATGTTGAGGGGGGGAGGCATAGATTTTGTTTGACCCGCGAAGGACAACTTCTGTCAAGGAAATGCGCCGTTATTTTTTGATCCGAAAAATATATGCTTATTATCTTTCCTAGGGGATTTAATCATACAAAGAAAAAGAGGCATGGAACTTTCTCTTTCGAAATACTTACAAAAAACTGACACTTCTTGTTGAGTWCTTTTGAGTATTTTCGGCGTAAAAACTTAGGCCATGTTGGAAGTTACTTTTTTCCAGAAAAAGGCAAGTTTACAAAGTGTTTATAGAAGGTTTTTTATTCTTAAAAATAGCGTGATGACGAGTTAAGAGACGCGTAATAATAATGTTTTGAAGTTTCTCATCCATAACAACACAATGAAGCTCGGCATCGCAGTTGCGATCGAGGCTTCGGGGGTTGAAGTTTTCCTACTCAAAAAAAAAATAATAGTACTCATGAAAAATTATTMAAAAACCTTATCCGTAATTAATGAGCTAATAGGCCATTGGTCACATGAGCCTGACCATGGATGATATGTTAGATATAAAAATGATCCTAGCAGAAGTCTCAGGTTTAATAATCGACCAATGCAGGATTTTAACTATTTACAGATTTACATAGTACATACGCACATTCGATGTGGGATGCAAATGTGCTTTTTAAAGTTGATTCGCGCATGTTCAGATTGTACCATTTATCTCCAAACTTATTTTTACCACCAAGAATCGTAACGAGTTTGAGTTTTAAATTAGTATTGGAGTTTTTGAAGCCGTTCAAAAAACTCGCAAATCGTTTTCAAGGGTATAAAGATTCAAATTCGTTTATTTTTATACCTGATAAAACACCCCTGCTCGTTTATTAAACGTAAAAACTTTAAGATACAAAATAATCTCACTGGGAAACGGTACAAGTAAAGATAAAAGCGTTTAGAAATTTTATAAACACTTTTCTCGTCATTATAAAAGCTTCTATTGCTGACGTACGAAAATTCAGGACGAAGTTAAGAGGATTGCTTTGTCAAACTACCTACAAAATCGCTCGGAWTTGTGATTTAAAGTCGGGAGGAATTTTTACTCACTTGGCAACTTACCACTCCTAGGTTTATTGTTTTCATTTTTTTAGTCAATCATTTACTTATTTATTAGTTCCATCCACCCAATATTCATTGAATGAAAAAATATACACAGTTTATTTGGAGTTAGATTTAGCGAAATAATCAATTCACTTATAGCAAAATTGATATACAGCCATGCATCATGGGTAATATCATGTGATTTTCACTTTTTCCTCGCTAAAACAGATCGCAAATCATTCYAATAATTTGACATTATGTTTATTAGGTTATTCAAGCAGTTTTATAACAAACTAGGCKCATAACTGCGTGAATCGAACTTGGGTTTCTGCTTGATAAAAATGTATTAATGAATCAATATATGATAGTTAAATTYATATTATATCCATAAAATTTGTATAATTTTGTGCGTTTCTTTGGTAAGTTTGCTGCTCAGTATATAAATCCAAGTTGCACTGTAAGRCTGAGTGTTTACAAAGATATTTTTTGCAACAACTTAGAAGATCTGGGACTGATACTGTGATAAACAACCCTTTTTAGCTTCCTACTTTTGTCAGTCTTAGAAATCGTGTTAGTATGCTACTGGACCACTGTACTCCCACGATCGAGTAGGAGTGACAAACGTATTAGTATATAATTCTCATAAACAAACCCTAAATAACGAGATCTTATATTATCACCATTTTTATTGTGACTTCTGCATCATTGTACACATGAACAGTCAAACGAATAGTTTTATCTAAAATTAATTCCATTGTTTTACAAACCAACTTTGAACATCTAGTGCTTGGCTTCCTCTGTGTATTTTAGCGCGGGGGTTGTTTGATCACTTTGCTGACTTTTGTTTTATCACTTTGCTCGAAAGGGACTAGAAGTGTCTTCGAAAGTTGCTTGAGTGGTGGTGTGGTTGATGGATTTCAGTTTATTTATGTTTGCTTGAGATGGTTTTCGYAGCATTCTTTTTAGCGTAAATGAATGGCGCTGTTGCAACTTCTTTGGGCGCGGGAGGGATGGAACCCTCGACCTACCCTGCGAGCGGAGGAATTTTTCCTCCCCTCTTTTACGAAGAAAAGCTAGCAACTGCGGCAGAGGTATTTTTTCTTTTCTTCGTAAAAGGGAGTGAAAAAATTCCTCTTCTCGCAGGGTATCCTCGACCCGACCGAAAACAAAAACAAAAAGAAACAGCATTTTATGAGACGGCCCAGGCGGGGGCTGGTCACTGCTTATTATCCTAATAAGATAAGTGGCAAGCAGCTTGATCGATTTGCAAAACGAAAATGAGATTGATTTGCCCATCATGCAGTCGAAATAATGACAGTGGTTAGAATCAATAAGTGCATCTGAATGACACCTGGATATTTATTGGTAACATCACTTCTTATTTATCAAATCAATCATTTTTAAATCCTTCATGCTCAATGTGTTCTCAACAGGTGATTTCCCCGCCCCTCACCCCACCCCCYTYCCCCCMAARAAGACAAAAGGAAAAAGAAAACAAAGCAAAAACATAACAAACAAAACAAATAAACTACCTCACTTCATGTTCTGGCTACATTAAACAAAAGTCATTTTAATATTTATTTTGATATCAAAATATAATGCTAATATTTATAGAGTCCAAATAAACTCACGAATTTTTTTTAATCCACTCATCATTAATTTATTTCTATTTCTAATATCAGTCTCTTTCACGGTGGATTCAAGAATCATGCAATGTGACTTAGTGATATTAGGTTCACCTTTGAAGAACTTTCTAACTGGGGCATACTGATTCTTGCTGAGTACGTGTTCAAGTGATCTTTATACGTGATATATCAGTAACGGACTAATTGAGAGAGTCAAAAGGTACTCGTGTCAAACACATTCAAGTCACGATTCGTCCACGAGACAAACCCCCCTCTGGTCTAATGATGATGACGACGATGTCAAAATAACTCACCTTGGAAACACTCTAAATTCGTTATGATTGAACTCGCGAAAGAGATATTTGATCTATGCGTTCCTCGTTGTTGTTCTTTCTTTCTTTTTTTTAGTTTTCTTTCTCTTTTTATTTTCTTTCTTTCTCTTTTCCCTTCTCCCTTTCTTRATTTCTTTCTTTTTTTTAATTTTTGTTTGTTGTTGTTTCTACTGTATCTTCCATTTTTTTCATTTTTTTGCTTCTTTCGCGGGTTTGTTTTTTTGTGTTTTTGGATGTAACTTTCAACAATATCATTTTTTCTCACTGATTGAGGTTTTGTAAACATGTAAACATCAACCGTAGTCAATTGCTACGATATATAGCAGACCGAAAATGAAGCCAGCCTCCCCCTCCTCATTATGCTAAGAAGTGATTAAAAATTAATAACATTGATCGATTCAGCTCTGTCACGTATCTCTCGTCTTTTAATTTGTAATTGTCAGATAAAAATGCAGTTTTATCAAGAAATTCGAAATACAATTTTAAAATGCATGTTTTTGAYCATTTCTCTTCAGCCATTGTCATCTCATTTTCAGTTATCATAATTACAATAAAAATCGTTTAAAATATAATGCTTATATGCGGACAGAATTGAACAATATATATATGATATGTGTGTATTTTTATATGCATATTTTTATACATATTTATTATACTACTTCATTAAAAAAGACAATACAAGCAATACTAAAAGTTAATTTAAAAACAAGCAAAGAAAACACAAAGAAAGAACTTCAAACAACAAGAAATTCATGATGAACGCATTACAAATTAATGACTTTCACTTTTTCATAGGTAGTAAATGACGTCACCACCAATACCGCTGYTGCTATGACGTCAGAAGGATTGGAGGACGAAGCTACATAAACAAAATGATCACRTGATGGCATATTTGGAAGTCAACATTCAAACCAACACAGAGAAAATGAGTGTTAATCACACCGTAATGTTTAGAAAACGATACTTAATTTACTAAGATTTACGTTTACTGCAAACACCAAAGGTCATGGGCTTTTACGATGCTTTGCTCAAAATTTCAAACAAACGTAAAAACGCTTCGAAAGGAATAGTGATGCGCTTATGCGCGAAAAAGTGATCTATTTTATACACGATCGTGAAAGGAGCGTTAATACAGAAAACCAGTGATCACATGATCAGTTTTGACGTTTGGCGTTCGCCGTAAACGCGTATCTAAAACTCTCTAACGGAACTCCCTCTCCCTCAGCTCTCATTCCATGTTATGCTCTGTCATGCTCTGTGTACTGAAATCTACTGTATTCCTGGTTAGATTTTTCGTATCTTTAGGTGTTGTATTTAATTACGTAATTGGTACGTCCAAAAGGAATCCAACTTGTTATTGTCCATTTTTTCTATTTGCAATTATAGAATTACGYAATGAGATTTCTATAACTTACGTCATAGCCAAGCGGGTGGGACTGGGGGCAGTGTTATTTCGTGGTCATATAATAAATATGTTTTTGCACATTTTATTTTAATTAGTGCATTTTTCTGTTGTTGTTTTATGTGTTCGGTTGCACRAAAAGTGGATAAAGRTTGGATATGTTTTTATGAAAATTTATCCTCTAAATCCATTTCCCTTAATCTGATTGGGATAGGCAACGTCACGTATATAATTCCACAGGAAATTTGAGATTTTTTAAGCGTTCGTCATATCAATGGATACAATCAAAATTACTAAGATGAGTGCCATGTATTTGGTTTGCTCACAACGTTAAGTTTTCATAGACATGTCAATTTTTAGATTTGTTTTCGACCAATGTCAATGAGCAGGGTTTTCACGAGTTAAGAGTTTTAGCGGTGTCAGACTGTGAAGAAGGTGATTGGCTGAAAAATTGCATTAGGAACCCCTGGCCTTCCCAACCCCCTTGCGCAAGCCCCTTTTGAAAATAATGCATGCGCTAGTAAGGTGTCTCTAGCTAATTTAACGTTGTAAGCATATTACAAATACTGGAATTAACGACGCTGATTTAATAAGCTATAAAAGAACATTTGACACGAGGTCGTTATCTTGTATATCGTACATTCTACTCATTAAATTTTCTTTCTATTCAGTATTATTCTGGAATCATAAAGTATTTTTAAGAAAAATAACAACATTTTTGTCGAGTGAAAGTGTTGTCATGAGAAACTTTATCGCCAAAARGCCGCTCCATTCGAATTATAGGAAGCAACCAGAAGGGCAAAGCTGTAAACGGTCTGGCTCGTCTATTTAGCTTGAAAAAGTCAAACTGGCAATATCAATGCTTTGATTCTAGCTTTCCATGGGTTTTTGTCTAAAATGTATCGTATTTGAAACAGTATTCGTCAATGCCCCCTGGGTATTTCTTAATATCTTTTAGAAAAAAAAAAGTTTAATGACTCCAGGACTCAAGATGGCGGCCATATTTGTGATTTGCCAACAACGTCTATTGCCGCAAAAACTTATTTCTAAAAAAACACGGAAAGATTTTAGATTTATCACAAAATAAAAACATAATTATTATAGCCTGCGTGTAGCCAAACCAAAACTGGTGTTTTGTTCTTCGTTCAACCCCAGTTTTGGTTGGGATACTAGCATAGCTTATATTTCATGGAGTGCTTTGGGCTTTGAAAGATTTCAAAATTTTACTGGCACAAGCACCTTCAGCCCCAAAACAAAAGTTGTTTAAGGGTGGAATTGGGAAAAATACACGCGCAAGACAAAAGGCAACAGCGACTACATTTATACAATGTTGGAATTCTTGGGGGAAAAAACCTCACTGATAATAAGCAAAAGACRAGAAATTTGTCGGTCAAATGCCAATGTGATATTAAAAACTCACCGCAACTCTTAAAAACAAAAGTCTAAATTTGTGTGTCAAACGAAACACCAAACACTTTGCGCGTAATTTGAACCGTTCACAATGAGAGCCTCTGCTCCCATTGAGAGCTACAAAGTGGTCGGCATGATTGATATCAGTTGCATAATCACTTCGAAGGGGTTATTATCAAAAAACATGGCATTCAAACAAAAAAAAGGCACAAGCTTTCACTTAAAAGTCAAAAAAGACAACAGAATCTTAAGAASATTTATTGATTGTTTTTGTTTTCAATGACAGTGACGTCTAAGAATAAATATTCGTGATATTATGTCTTGCAAGGGCTCGTTAAACTTGAGGAGTTTCCAAAAAGAGAAGGTAATCTACAGGTGCAATGTGGGCGCGCCATTACAGCGCAAGTGTGAAAAAGAGGCCATCTAAACAGCACCGTAAAGTGATGCACTGGTTCAGTACTTTGGTACAATTAAGCGAACAAGGTCAAACTCTGTAATTAACCGAAGGGTTTTTTGGTGCACATCTGGTCGATTCGAATCTKATTGATACTTGTTTTTTCCTTTGTGAAAGTGACAGCTTAGCGAAGATGCGCGTTCGGTAAATATTTGAATAAAAATGACAGTTTGAATGATTTAGGCCGGGTCAAAGGGTTAAACGAGTCTATTGGGAAACAATATACAAAGTTTAACTGATTTTGTGGTGATATTATTCATTTAATAWTGAAAAGTACGTTGACAAAATCGGAACTATTTAATAGGATAAAACCAAGCGCGCGCGAAACGTATTCACKTAAAAATTGAACTTTTCCCGCTYTTTTCTTTAATGTTTCTAAACCTATCTTCCTTCTTAAAAACAAATCATGACTTCGCAAAACAAAAGATGAAGACTAAAGATAAGGAAACAGCTTTACCGAATTTGAAAATGTGTTTTCATTGTTCTCAAACGCGGGTACGCATCGAGTTGGTTATGCAAGAAGACAGCCTTGTCAAGCAATGCCTCTGATTGGCTGATATTTCGCCCTCACCTGTCGCAAAAACAGTTTTAGCTTTTTTTATTGTCATTGGCCACATGCAGGTCTTACACGTGTTTTCGGAGTAAAATAATAGAAGACATAAAAAAAACTGAACAATTACAACTACATAATAGAATTCTTTTCTCAGTGGATCCATTGAAATAATGAACACAAAATATTAATTTCTTTGGAGCTCGAGGATTTAAAAGTAGAAACAATTATATTCGCTTCGAGGGCTCTTCATTTTATAAAACAAAATCTCAAAAATGGCGAAATAAAAATAAACAATAAAGGATTGAAGTAGAGCAGATATATAAAAGTTGTTAAATCTTTGTTATACCATATAAAACGGCAAGAGATTCCTTCTTGTTCGGGAAACAAATGTTTTGAATAAAATTTATGTTAGGTTTTTATTTACTTTACAACTACGGTACTAGATTTTGYCATTGTCCTTTAAAAAATTGAAAACATGAGTTATTTCGAGAAGAAAAAACTCAAAAAAGTCCATATAAACTATATGAGATATTTCAGAATGTTATAACCTTCGGTGTCCCTTCGAGGTTTAAACGAGCTTCGCTTATAATTCATTTGACAAGAACATTCTGTTTTGACAAGTGATATTAGCGATCATTGATGAT